AGTGGGTCAGTAGTGTGATGAAATGCACCACCTGCAGACAGGGACGATCGATCATATTAATGCTTCAGGAACTGATTTTCTGTCCGCTGGTGCTGGCCAATGCCCAGTTTGGCAGGAATCGGCAGGCAGATGCTGGTCAATCGCTGCGACTCCCAGGTTTGCTTCCTCCATGCCTCCAGTCCCTCCCAGAGATCTTCTCCAGTGCTTGTCTGTCCTCATCATGGCTGGCTGAGGTCTTCATGGTATACCTCCGTAGTGCATTGCTTATAAGCCTTCTTGCTTCTTGTTTACTGTAAGTCTATTTCAAATCAGATACATATCCTGCTCGATTTTGCCATCGTTGTTTCAATAATGACTATCATGAAACACCGGCGCGACTTTGACATAGAGGCTGTTCGGAAACAATTCCCAGGCCTTGACAAAGGGTCCATCTGCCTGAACAATGGCTCCGGTGCTCTGGTGTACAAGGGTGCCATTGAGAGGTAGGTTCTTCTCACCTATAGCACGAAACAGGACGAAATTGACAATCAATAGCATTGTTCATACCATGTCTGCACCCCATATGAACCTGCGTGGTCTGGATTCCAAAAGCATGGTCGACGTCAAAGAGCGTACTGCCCAATACGCGAAGCTGGCTTCCTTCATGAATGCAGACCCTGATGAGATCGGTAAGCGATCGTTTTATAACTAGATCAGATACTCAATTTTCCGTCTGATCCCTGCCCCGCTAGCGTTTGGCCACTCCACAACGGGTCTTTTACGGAATCTGACCGCCTCCCTCCGCCCAAGTCTCAATGCAGACTCAGAGATCGTCGTGTCCGTGCTCTGCCACGAGGCGGACATCACTGCGTTTGTTGCCCTGGCCAAGACTCTGGGCATCTCGATTAAGTGGTGGGCCCCAGCCGGGGGTATGGGAAACAACAGGGATCCTAAACTTAGCCTCGACACCCTTCGACCTCTCCTGTCCCCTAAAACCCGTCTTGTATGCTGCGGGCATGTGTCCAACATCACCGGAACCATCGAGAATGTCAAGGAGGTTGCAGACCTCGTCCACACCGTCCCTGACGCGTTGATCTTAGTAGACGGGGTGGCATGGGCTCCTCATCGCCCGATTGACGTGAAACAACTTGGTGTTGACTTCTACGTCTTCAGCTGGTACAAGGTATTTGGTCCTCATATCGCGCAGATCTATGCTCGCCGCGACGTCCAGAAACGTTATCTTACCAGCCTCAACCACTACTTCTTTGACCCGACCGCTTTGCATGTTCGCTTGGGACTGGGAAACAGCTGTATTGAGCTCGAGCATGCGGTCACCCCGATCATCAGTTACCTCGCGGACGATGTTGGTTGGGATGCTCTCATCGCCCATGAGGAAGTCATCACAGCTGAGATCCTCGGATACTTGACTGCGCATCCGGATCTGTACACTGTGTATGGGTCTCACTCGGCAGACCCGACAGTTCGGGTCTCCTTGGTCAGCTTCACGGTGAATGGGATCGCGTCCGACAAAGTGGCTGAAGTAATTCATGAAACCTCCAACTTTCGGCTTATCAGTGGTGACTGTTGGTCTCCTCGCACAACTCATGATGTTCTGGGGTTGCCGGAATACGGCATCATTCGGACAAGTCTGGTGCATTATAACTCTGTGGATGAGGTAAAGGCGTTCGTACAAAAATTGGATCAGGTTGTACGTGCCATGAAGCAGGGACGGTACGATGACGGAAAGGTCAATGGTCGATCTAGTTGATTAAATAGATAGGCAATATTAGACGGCTTTGGTATGCTGTCCTTGTTAGATTGTGATCCCAGAACAAACCGGATCATGAAATGTCCCTTGTTAAAACTGGCCGAAATTCAGTCAAGATAGACCGTCCCATAAATCAGATCGGTATTCAACCCAAGCCTCGCACAGCAGCCTCTGCACGATTACCCCCTTCTGCTGCGGACTTGCCAAATACTCCGATTCCCGGGGTAGATCATATCATCGGTGACAATCACGGACTTCCCCGGAACCCAAAACGCCCCAGTCCAGTAGCCAGTAGCCACTAGCCACTAGTCACACGTCGTTTAGCGATCGATGAAAGCCATATCGACGAGCTTGATTACCTTCGGTCCGAATGAGATCCGTGGGCACTTCGTTGCTCGAGCCAACAATAAACCGAACAGGGGTCTGCACAAAGGAAATCAATCGCAAGTTACTATGACTAACGAACGCAATTTTTCTGCTAGGCGGGCCATGGGGCCTGATGACCATTTTGTATGATGAAGTATCTACTATAAGGATATTCAGATGCCAATAACACTGGCTAGAAAGGTAGTTCCCCTCACGCCGTGTGCTTGCGTAGTGGGAATGCAAATGAGAGAGCTCGCGGGTGCATGCAGATCGCACCATAATCTCATTCCATGGCCACCCTGGGCATAAATAGGGCTCGAACGGAAGGGAAGCTTGAAGCTGCATGAAAATCATCATTTCGTCAATCAGTCAGTCAGCCTTGTTTCACCATGACCGTCTCTCATGATGCGCCCCCGATTCAAACTGAGCACGGCCAAAAAACACTCATCAGGGAACCACTGAAGCTTAAGGGTGTTCTGGACAAATACAAGTCCTTCAATGTCACTCCGGCAATTGGAAAGGAATTCCCTGACGCTAACGTGGTAGAATGGATGAAGGCTCCCAACAGCGATGAGCTCCTGCGCGACTTGGCTATCACAAGTACGCATCCAACCCTGCCATTTGATATTGAACGGAATATACCTAACGGGCTGTAGTCTCTCGTCGCGGCGTTGTTTTCTTCCGCGCCCAAACTGACCTGACTGATGAGCTTCAGAAGCAATTGGCGCACCGTCTGGGGGTTCTCTCAGGCAAACCCGACGACTGCAGACTGCACATCCATCCCCTGACCAAGCACAACCTCGACAAGGACCCAGAACTCAACGTCATTACCACCGACAAGGCCGCGAACCCGGCAGAGGACCTGTGGAAAAACAGACCGGCCGACATCAGAAACGCCTGGCATACAGACACCGGCTACGAGCGGAATCCCGCCGACTACTCGATCTTGAAGCTCGTCAAGCTCCCGGAAACCGGCGGAGGTATGCAGGCTTGTCGCAAGCTCTCCTGTCTCATCCAGTTTGATATTGATTGTTGCCATGTAGACACAATCTGGGGCTCCTCCTGCGAAATCTACGACAAAATCTCCCCCGCCTACCGCAGCTTCCTCGAGGGCCTAACTGCCACCTTCGCCCAGACCAGACTCCCAATCTCCGCTGCTGAGAAGGGATTCGAGCTGTACGCAGAGCCCCGCGGGTCACCAAACAACGTTGGTACTTCCCTCCGCGCTGTGCACCCCGTCGTGCGCACCAACCCCGTCACCGGATGGAAGAGCCTGTTCGCGGTAGGCAACCACGTCGAGCGGATCAACGAGTTGACACCCGATGAAAGTAGGCGGCTACACGACTGGTTCCTGCAGATGATTGTGGAAGAGCATGATACTCAATTGAGGCATCGGTGGGAGAATCAGTATGATATCGGTTAGTAACGCATCCCCGTACCGTCCGGTTTAGTTAGTTTGTATTTGATGCGTCCGATAATAACCATCGCGGTCGCAGCCATCTGGGATAACCGCACTGTTTACCACTCGGCCATTTTCGACTTCGCTGGATTGGGATGTCGTACGGGTCACCGGGCAGTGAGCATCGGCGAGATACCGTACTTCGATCCGAACAGCAAGACCCGCCGCGAAGCGCTTGCTGATGAGGGGGTGATGTTCTAAGCGTAGCTAGCTGGCAATTTTCTTTCTTGTAGGATGATTGTTGTCGTTGTCGGTTTGCGTCTGAATCTGAGTCTATCGAGAGAACAAAACATGTCTCAACGTGTAAACTGGCCGTATACCGATTGAGAGCAAATAATGCCTTTTCAGACAGCAGGACTTTTACTCTACCGCAACTCGCGACTGCCATGGTGATTACATAGTATTAGGTGCTTAGGCCAGGGTGCATACCTGCCGGCACGACGGTTTTCCGCTTTATGTATATTGTACTCTCGATACATAAAATCTAGCTCGCCGAAAATCAAACTGCTCCTGACGCAACCTGATCACGATCCTCAGGGTGGAAACACAAAGCTCTCACCTCAATACTCTCTCTCGGGGCCTCATGCTCCGTCTCTGGGTTAACAAAAGAACCATGCGGCACCCGCCGCGCCCTCCCATCAACCTTGGAGTCAAAAAACTTGATAAAGGTGACCATATTCGGAGGCTGCTTGTAGCGATAGTACCACTTGATATTCGGATTCGGCTTCACGGACCACGCCCCACCCACCCAGCCACCCTCTTGCTCAGGGTAAATAAACGGGATAGGGGAAAGGTCACTTTCGGAACAGGATTTTGAATCCGCTACCGCTAGCGGGTGCTTCAGGATCGTGCGGATCGGACGCCAGACGCTGATCATCTGGTAGCGGGCCTTGAGGAGCTCCGGGGCCTCGTCGGGGAACAGGTGGACCACTCTGGCCTCTGCTCCGGCGTAGTTGGCATCGATGTGCATGGTATGGACGGGCCCACGGGGCTGGTTTGCGCTCGTCCTGTCTTTGGGAGCTCGGCGGATGGTGTGGTCGAAGATGAAGATCCGAGAAGCACCCGTGCTGCGCTGGTTGGTCAATCTGCTGTGCTGGTTCTATATTCACCTACTTACACGTCTTTGAGCAGTTGCTCTATCTCTGGGTAGTATTCTGCTCGGATCTCCTCGTCGTCGAGGAAGTCCTTCAGCTTGCTCTCGTGGTAGTGGAATTGGAATCCATGGCTGTCAAGGGTGTAGTCACGCTCATGGCCGCTAACATCGTGGATAGTGGCGGGGATGGAAATCATAGGTCTCTCAATTGTTTCTGGCTTTCCAATCCATATTGGGGGGTGGGGAGAACCATCTTCACTCTCTTTGTTGAAGGTGAGTGTGGTCTGCACATGGTGAGGCTCCTCGAGGACGTTTGGCTTTTCTGCTAGCAGACAGCCATGGGAGCTGGGGGGAAGAGTAGCGGCTGGGGCCATGTGCAGGGTAGATCGGCTGAGATTGTAATATGTCTCTGGATTTCTTGAGCTGAGGGGACGTCGGACTTAGGCAATATATATATATATATTGTTGCGGTGCAACTAGATAGTCCTCTAGGGAAGCTCGATTTGTCAAGAGATGGGCAATCACACGATGAATGGATGGCTCAGCTCGAGGGAAATATGGGTCACGGTAGCCCATGCATCCAGGTCACAGGGGTTGTGGGAGGAATGTCGATAATCAATCGAAAGCCACGATTCTTTTTCTCCGAGATTGGGCATTACATCTCTTCAATCAATGCTGTATGCACATCGACTGAGCTGAGTGGCGCAACCGAAACAACCATCCTACACCTTAATTTTGGCAGATGGAGAGGTACTTACTCGCTTCCAAAATGTATCCGTGAAAAGATTATTGGAGCAAAGTGAGAGGGAGCAGGGGGACTCGGGAACTGGGAAGAGAATGGGGCAGGCCTGTCGATGCTTTGGCCACACTACGGAAATCAAGATCTGGACAGCCGACTCCCTCAGATCCCTCTCGTTCCAGTTTCATGCCACCTAAAGTAATTACAGACACACAAAATGGGGCCCTCAGTCTGCTTCAGACGGGCTAGCGACGATCAGGATGGACACTACAGGGTTCGTACAAATTAGGAAGGAGGGGCCAATTGTCAACTTGATCAGAATGAATTGCTTGAGGTCTTCTAGGTCAAGCGATTCCTGTGGCTCTAATATAGTTACAGGGGATCAGCTCGCCAGTGATGAAGCAGCCCGTCGGGGCGCCATCGCTGCCTTATTGCTGCCTTGTCGGTAAGGCAGACGCAGTGACAGGCTTGTCGTAGGGTCACGTGATATCTACTAGCTTAGTCAGCTCGCTGCCCCTGTCTCACCGCTGGTTAGGCTTCCCAGCTAGGGAGTCAGTGCTCGTCGTAATATCGTCAAAATCATCAGTCGCTATGCCAAAATGCAAGACGCCAGCATCTCGCCCTTGAGGTAGCCGTCTAGGACTCAAGACAAACACCCGTAAACTCTATCTGTAAACCCGACCGTTATCTCTACCCCTGTTAGTCCGTGACAAGCATGACGTTATAATGGATGCAATGAGACAGAAACCGCTCGTCAAAAGAAATGGCAGGCCAAGCCAATGCCCTCCCAGAACCATTCCCCAGTGGAACGAACCCGCGAAGAAAGGACCGGTTAACAACCCCCCCACTCCCTGCGCCATGGAAATTGCTGTGTATAAGCTTCCAACAGAAGAAGGGGGCACTAGGGACGTGGCCATGCTGCGCAAAGTTACAGGAGCTGCTGAACCTAGCGCATTAATTATAAGGCCAAAGATCACGCCGATGGGATGGCTGGATTCGCCCAGGACAAAGCAGCCCACGACGAGAAGCCAGCAACTGATCTCTGATAGTAGTGAGTCTTTCTCACCGGTGCTGAGCTTGGTCCGGTGTTCAAGATACGTGTCCAAAAGCGGCATCAACACAGTCGTAAGAAGCAACTGGCAAATGTCACCTAAGGTAAACACAAGACTTGCCTGGAGCACATTTGGGAGATCCGTCAGTCTCCAGATATACATTATGTAGCGTCGTGTCACCAACTGCACTTACTGTACTGTAGTCCCATCTGAATCTTTTTGATGTGTACTGCAAAAGCGCCGACTTGGACTCGGTGCTTAAGCGCACAAGAAGAAACACAACGAGGAGGAGTATGATCACCGGATTTGTCCAGATGGCTCGAATAGACGCGGTGAGTCTGCGAAATGATGCGCGCGACGCCCCCATTGCAGGCCGACTAGACAGTGATTCCATTTCCCTGTCCTCACCAGAATACTTATCATCCATTGAAAGTGTTTCCGGTATCGTCATCATGGTCAACATGGTGAGTATCAGGAGAAAAGACGACAGTATTAGAGGATCCCATGAGCTCCGCCTCATCAACACAGCACCACCGGCGCCACCCAGGATAAAGGCCATCAAATCGATGGCCGTGAGCCACAAGAGCCATCGGGTTCTGTAAGACGCGTGAGCACAAATAGAGTAAAGGAGCTTTGTGTATGAAGTGGTGTTACCGTTCCGCTCGAGGGGCGACGTCCGCGATGATAGTATATGTGAGAAGGGTGCCAACAGCGCGACCACCGCCAATGACTTGCAGGACGGGCGCCGCCCAGACCATACGAATCGGAAAGATATCGGGGAATAGGTCTTTCAGGGAGTTGATAAGTCACTGTCAGAGTTGGGCTTCCGGCGTCTATTGCCTCCAGCTATCTGGGGGGAAGTGAACTCACACACGATTTTGACCCAGGTATCGCTGAGGAGTACCCCAAAAAAGGATAGCATGAACACAGGCTTGCGACCGCGTTTATCAGCCAAAATTCCATACGGAAGCGCAAGGAAAATTCCTACAGGCCATGTCTGTGAGTTGAGTTCGAAAACATCGATAAATATACTGCGATTTGTGCAGCATCCTACCTGGAATCTGTATGAGAGAGTCTCCCCATCCCTGCACCAACGCCAGTTCGCTTTGGACCGCCTCTCTCTTACAGTCAAGGGGCTGGTTGGATAGTTCCGAGTCATGGAGGTGTCTGCAGATGATGTTCTCGACGATATCTGTCTGCGGCGCCGCGATCACGGCCATAGCGAGCAAGAACTGGAAAGACACAGCATACACCCGCAGAACTATTTGAAAGCGATATTGTCGTGTAGGCTTTTGATCTTCGTATTCTGGTGGAATTAGTGGGCTTTCCACGTCTTGGTCAGTTCCGGGTGACATCATGCACCAGAAGGCTTTGTTTCTGGTATTTGGATCTTCCTCTATTTTGATGATGGAATGGACTGGGCTTTAAAGACAGGTAGCAGCTATAACCAGGGAATCACCAAACAGGTCAGACACGCACGACTGCTCAGAGCGGTGTGTCAGGATCCAGTTGATTTGGCAGTCTAACAAGGGATATGCAACCCATCATTCCTTCTCTGTGTTGTTTCATCAAAGCCCCGCGGTCATGCAGACGTTGTGCATGGGACCAAGGACACCAGTACAACGGCTGGCAGAGTATGAACAAATCAACCGTTGATCTGGGCCATCTGTGGAGTCACTGTAACCCAATGCGGTCATGGAAATAATACTGTGGACTATTGGTTGGCGCGTGACGCGGAGCACTGAATGCATCTGACCTTAAGACCTCACAATGTACAGGTAGTCTGTGGAAAGATATATACACAGGACAAGGGCTCAGGAAGTGAACCAAGTATACCTTCTTTATTATCTTGGTTAACCTTGCGGGGAATGACGTTGTTCCTGAATCAAACCTATATTACCACCAATACAGTCATCATATGCTGACTTGTCTACATGATCAGCGCACGTTTGTGGCGTTCACATGGCTGGTTGAAATAATAAAGTCACAATGTCAGACCAACCTGTATATTTGGCAGCAGGGATAATGTTTCAATATATTTATGCATGAACAAGTTTTCTTGTTTATAATAATCGCTATAAGAATACACCTTAGACTAAGTAGGAAAGCAGAAGTAATTCATTCACATCATATCACAAGGCCTTCGGGCCACACAGAAGTGGCCCAGTCCTTTTCAGAGCTCATTACTAAGCATACTTGGCCTGAACTTTAAGGCAGATATAGCCTAGTTAATTTGATGGAGGCATTCCAAGACTAATCGATCTACTTAGTTATAGTTTCATGAAGTTTCATGGATTTACAGTGGACCTCAGACGAGTCTGCGCTCGAAGCCAGGCTCAACTTAATGATGTGGAGATTGCCACAATCTACAAACACATCCTTCAAGGCCTGCAATATATTCATAGTGTACTTAACATCGCACATGGAGATCTCTGCGCACGGAGTATCCTTCTGTACGAAGATGGACAGATCAGGATCGGTAAGGACCATTCTTCAGGGCAGAATGATTAAGTTCTCACGCGTTTCTAGCCAATATCGGAGAGAGCTTTGAAATATTGTAGAGACAAGCGGAGGGATCTCAAAGGCTTAGGCCACCTGATTCTCCGTCTCAGCGGTTCTGACAACCTCCTAGCTGGCCAGGCTTGGGATGTGTCTGAACAAAAGAAAGAGTCTATCTTGAATCTTTCAACCGCCTCATATTATCATATATGTCAGGTATGTAATCATCTGCCCGCTGCCCGAGAATCAGTCACCTCATGCTCCTCTAGCATAAATACTTACAACAAGCTCTGCTCGATGAAAGGTCCTGGATCTTGGTCCCTTACTATTTCAGCACGATAGGCTTGGCTTGGCCTTTGCCGGCGCCTGTGGACATAGATTCTGATTCAGATCGTGCCCGTATTTTAGGTAGCTACTGTTAAAGGTTATGTGTTCATCAGTATGGGAGAATCACTGAAGCTTGAATCCATAACTAAGGTGATATACTCTTTTACGGATAGGCTTTACCGATATCTATCAACCAATCGGGGACATAGGATTTAGAAGAGCATACGACTGGTAGTAGCAGGAATAAAGACTTTTTGAAGCTATCGTAATCTAATCTGATCTGTCATCCATCCATTCTTGCTAACCTCGATCCGCCAGTCAGCTGGTAAGGCCATATCTTGATACCAGCCCTCGATATGGACCTTTCCCTTAAATGGCGGAAGCTCCCATCCAGTAGAGTTAATACACTCTATAGATGTAACCCCATTCGCGGTTCCATGACTAGCTAAGGAAGGGCTCACTAAGCATCTGAGCTCTTGTAACTACCTTAGCAGTAGCTACGAAGCCCATACAAAGCTAGTTTCAACAACGCTGTAGATATCTTCCAGTGCAATCCCATGCTGCATTATGGTGATCTGGACACGATTAAACCATTCCAGGATAATCATTGGGTCTTTAATTTTAGCACGCTGATGATTATAGCGCCTAGAGAATCGGGTTTTAATCTCATCATGCCAATTAATGAAGTCATATACCCATTTCTCTCCAACAGTCTCAGTAGCAGTTGAACCACGCTGCGCAAGCAGGATATTGCCATATCTTGCATATGGGATGGTCGGGGAGCTGCTCCACGTTGATCTATAGATAGAATCCATGTGATAAGTGATTCCTCTTCATTTTGAGTCATTTCATGGCTATTTACGCAAGCTTCATTGCGGTATTTGCTGCCCTTTAAATGATTGCATAGACTTGAACGATGGACATTGAATATCTGCGCAGCCCTGCTAATTGCTGAAATTTCCTTCTTTTTAAGAGCTGATATTGCAAGTAGGATCCTGCCTTCCTCATCCACTGAACTACTTGCAATTGTACGCTTTTTTGGTGGCATAGTAGCAGTTTAGATAGCTTCGAATTCAAACGCGTTGAATCGGATGGGAAAGTGGCGGCTCACTTACCGATCACATTAGTTAGTTATTTGCGTTTGCTTAGTAATACCAATGGATAACGTAATCAACCACCGAACCGCCGCTTCGCCGCGAAAATCATTGAATTCTTGAAGCCTTCTAATCACCAACGCTATTAAATTAATTTATCTAATATATAAATATATAGCTATATAGCTATTTGCTAGGGCAACTCCGTATTGTATGTCCAATAGCCCAGCAGCCACTGCAGCGTGGTGGAGCGCGCTGACAAGGCACTAGTATAGGCTCATCAACCTGCTCACCAACCTGCTCATTAAGCTGCTGAATGCGGTCACGACCTTCTTGTACAGATAAAAAGAGGTCATTTCCTAGAGAAGCACGCTTCCTTACCTTCTTCTTCATTTTTCGCTCATTTTCAGCCCGTAGAGCCTTTATTTCTTGTTGAAGAAGAAGATTCATATTCATTGCCATCTGTGCAGCCTTTTCAAGATGTTAAATATAAGAGACTGGACTGCTTGAAAGCTTCCTTTTCTGCAGGCTTCTCTGTAAGCTGCGAACTTTATGATCAAGCTAGCAAGGATTTTGAGGTGTTTGAAAAGCAGACGAGATTGATCCTTCCATAAGAAGTGGCGGTGTTGGTGTACGGAGTTAAAAGGTGATTCTCTCAAGGACCTGATCTTTATCCAAAGGTCTAAGACCAGCTCCTTTGAAGCCATTGCATATATTCCTCTGGTTAAATACTGCTTCACGAGCAGGAGGATATAGGTATAGAAAATCCTCCTTATCAATGTGGTTATTTCCAGCCACCATCATCCCCTCCACTAGTTTTCCGTATGAGCGTTTGAGCGGCCCAAAAACCCCAACATCTAGGGGTTGAAGAAGATGAGATGTATGTGGCGGCATACAAAGACAGATAATTGCATTCTCCTTGCAAAAATCATCAAACTCAGCAGTTTGATGGCTTGAATGGCCATCAAGGATAAGTAATCGCTTTGCACCGGTTGAATGTAGGTGAGAAAAAGGGTTAAAGACCTCCTTTAGCCACTTAAGGCCTATCTCATCTGTTGTCCAGCCATTGGCGCTGTTGGTAAGCTTCCAATCTGGAGGAAGATTAGGTTCTTGGTACCAAGGAGCCTGGTGTTCTTTTCCCTTCAAGATAACCACTGGTGGTATAGGAATCCCCTTAGAGCTCACACATTCAATAATTGTAACCCATTCGCGGTTTCCCTGGATAACTGTACGAGGCCTTTCACTGCGATCCACTGCAGTGATAACCTTTGAGGTTGTACAGAGTCCCATTGCAAAGCTAGTTTCATTAAAGTTCCAAATATCATCTTCATGGATACCATGCTCTTGAATAGTGGCATGCACAAGTTCAAACCACTGTTTTATAACCTTTGGATCTTCCTGCTTTGCCCACTGGTATGAGATACTCCAATTATACCTTGTACGCAGTGCTGGATGGCGTTTAACAAACTTATACGCCCAGTTAACTCCAATAACTGAAGTTGGATCATTTGTCCGCTCGCATAGTAGAATATGTGCCATTCCACGCAGAAACTGTGGTCGAATTGAAAAGCTATGTTTATCAGCATCTAGCAGACGCTTAGCAAGGACCTCCTCTTCAAGAGCTGTTAACTTATGGCTATTAGCGCGTGTCTCTGCGCGTGGTTTGATTCCGCGAAGCTGATCATGAAGAGTCTCTCTAGACACCCCAAAAACCCCAGCAGCGGCTGCTTTGATTTAAATTGTCCCTTTTTATATGCTGATATGGCCATCTGCATTCGATTCTCTTTGGATAACGGCATTTTTACTAATAGTGGTGAAAAATAAGACGTGTTGATTAGAAGGCTTCAAGAATTCAAGGATTTTCGCGGCAAAGCGGCGGTTCGGTGGTTGATTACGTTATAACTAGTTAACTAACTAGTTAATATTTAAGGGAGTCTTGCTCCTAAGCTAAGGTAGTATTCTGCCGTCTCCAACAAACATCTCACTCCAGGGATCTCATGACATAACCTCCACCACCGTGAACCACCTTGGATCCGTGGCTTGCATTCAATTTATCCAATCTGCAAACATGGGAGAAATCTCTCCCCGGCCCTCCTCGCCTGACTCGTTCAATGACTTCTTCCACCATAAATCATGGCCAGAACCATGGACCTCTCCGGACTTTCCCGCGGACGAGACCTGGAAAGAGCGACAACGCCGCTTTGAGAGCTATCCATGGTGGAATGTTGACATGACAGCGAAGTTCTTCGCAGAATATTATGAGTGGATGTGGCCATGGGGCTATTTCATCTACCGGACTTGTTATGAGACTGTCTCCGATGCCGATTGGGAGGAAGCGATGCGAAAGCTCAATGCCTGTGTTTATTGCTTCCTCCGATACCGCCAGGCATTCAGCCATCCAGAACCCATCCGGCTTATTTGTGAGGGTTACAGGAATGTAGTCATTGAGGATCGAGAGCTTCTTGAGGGTGCTTCTATACCCCAGGTCCGGCGCCTGTTTGATGATTGGATGACTCGCCATGACCAGGACGGCACTCCACGGTCGGAGTATTGTCTGATGATTGACGATAAGGCCCTCCAGACCATCCTCAATACCCCGGAACCCTCCGAGGATGGTAGCTTCTTGTTTGGATCAGACGCCGGCTACGTGATTCTTATTGATCGGAGGTTTCAGGAAGGCAGAATAAGGAATCCCGACCGTGAAAATTATCAAGGATTCTTACGTCTGGACATCACCGGACTGTGGAGTTTCATGTATCACGATTGGAATCATGACTTTTGGAGAAAAATGCCCGATATACCGCGTCCCGGCCTGATCCCATGCACTGATGGGGCCTGGGCACATGTAGAGGACGAGGACGGTACGGTGGTGGCGGCGAATGAGTTTTCAAGTAGGTCCAAAGTAATTGGGAGGAATCCTCGCGCGATATCTTAAGGGCCTTGTCTTGGTTCCTTATGTCTATGCTTGGCCCAATTCAACTAGAAATTGTTGAATCTGTTGCGGACTTCTCTAGAATCAGAACCCAGTCGACCAGTCAGACATTCAATATACAAATCCCAAACCACTTCACTATTTCTCTAACATAATCTTCCTCCTAATTGACAAACTATGTCATTTCCATACTTGTGCTGCTGGCGGTGCTATTCCTGTCGGTAGCATCAAATCCCGACACTGGTCCAACGCAATACGCATCCCCCGCCACTAAGAGAGCATCACAGTTGCCTGCAGCCAAGGAAGGGTTGGCCCTCAGGAAGGTCTCCCGGTCGACCGGTCCTTGCATACAAAGCATCGTACAACTGATAGCCTCTGCAGCTGTGACTACGTACCATTTGCCGCATCTGAAAGTTGTGCCCTTGGCCACCGTGGCGTTGGTAGGAGGTGCAGTTTCAGTGTAGCCGCCCGTCTGTGGTAGAGAGGTCACGCCCGGCGGAGGAGCAGCACCAGTTGCAGTGCCCCCTTGTGGAGCACCGCAGAGCACGTGCCCATAAACCTGATTACTGGCCACATGAAGATTGGAACAGTCGTTCAGTAGCCATGGATTGAATTTGCGAAGGGTAGCACCGGCCGAGTATGGTAAGCCGAGGGAGGCTTCGACAGAAATACACGTGTCGTTGTCTTTGAGAGTATAGGTGGGATTGCAAGAGAGCGGGATGCAAAGTTCCGTGCCAGCGGGGATGTTTCGGCAGTCGTGGAGATTGGGGTTGCCCATATACAGCGAGGCCGATGACACACTGTACTTCCGTGAGATTGAATCACAGGTATCCCCAGGGTCCGCCGTATACGTCGTTTCAGAGATGCAGAATGTGAGGTTGTTCTTATATGGGTCTGGGAACTCCTGCAGCGGTGGGAGGATATTTGTGGGCCCGCTGAGCCCGCATTTCGAATGAATGAACTCTAGGTCAGACTGGTAAGTCTCGTCATAAATAGAGTACGGAGTCGCTTGCATCATCTTGTAGCGGGTGACATAGCAGTATGAGCACAGTTCACCTGGTGGCATATCGGAGATGGACTGGACAACAGTGAATTCATCAATGGCATCTGTAGCGAACGTGTATAGATTAGTTGTCAGTCCGCCATTGTACACGCAGCTACTTGGGATGGATTTACCGCCACAGTATTTCCCCGTGTTGGGGTCTTTGACGCATGTCTCGTTCCATCCAGCCCAAACGATGCCGCCGGGCTCGGCCAAAACAACATGGTCATGCTCCCGGGCGCAGTCGATTAAGACACTCTCCAACCACACTTGGAGAGACTGTCCGCAGGTTTTGTCACACATTAAATCAGTCAATGTATCGTTGTGCATGGACCCCCTCCATTGTAAGGCCCTGAGCATGTATACTTGATCATGACATTCGACCAGACGTGTTAGAGATGCTTTGCAGGTAGATGAAACGCCGCTCAAGACATCCTGGTCCTGCTCATCGTCCCACAGGTAGAAGCCCGGGAATTTGCGCTTCCCAATGGCCCCTGTTCCGGTGTGGAGCCAGGCGAGGAGAGACGAGGTATAGCCATTCCGGACATCTCGGGCATAGAGTGGGTTTTCCCCTGTCGGGCTGATGGATTCCGTGATTCCTTTGGTGACAAGGTTGTACACCCAGGTATTAGTGCTCTGCTCAACGTAGAAGCCCCGCTCCTGGCAATTGCCAGTCTCGAGACAATCCTGTGTGTAGAACGTAAACCAGCTGTAAAGCCCTACAATGGACGGTTAGATCCATAGGTTTACACATAACACAATGAACAACGCGCGGAATGTCTTACCGGAGCCTAGCATATAGACAGTAGAAGAATCGATGATCCTCACAGCCCAGGCCATGGCACAGCCAGCTATATTGTTGCCACAGTTAGTGAAGTCAGGGTCATTGGGAAACTGACCGGGCTTAAAAGGCTCGGGTGCTGCAGGAAGCGGTTGGAAATATGGCGTTTCCGTCTGGATCATTCCCATCACAATTTTCTGCGCGCCCGAAAGCTGATACTGGTAAAGAACATTATGTTCGGATGCAGTGCCGTACATCCACGTTGGTCCGTGGCTCTCAACCAAGATCCCACGAGCAGAAAAGACATCGATTTGATCCTGAGATTTCACATCGAGATCATGATCTGCTGTCCATGCCCACACGTTCTCGAGGTAAGCAGAAGCGGAAGAAGTGATACGAAGCAGTAACGAAGCAGCTATACAGTTTTGTTTGATGAGAGGGAATTGCTTCTTTGGGCACTCAGAAGCTTGAAGATGGGAGCCCTTTGCGCCTCCAACCCGGAAATGGGAATCTGCAGGGGAAATAAGTTAATCACAAGAAACGAACATGTCGGGGATAGAAAACTCACCCCATAATCCTGCCGACCCTTGGCTCGATTCATGGATATTCCATTCCACCAAGACAGCTCCAGCGGTGGGACCTGAAACAGTAAACAGCAGATCTTGGATCTCGACAATCCCGATTTCGCCTTCATGGCCCACTTGGACCGCCACATGTGGATGGTCAGCATCTTGGAATTTGGGGCCTGTTGCCATGATCTGAGACCAAGCCTGTCCAACGATGCGGGACCCTTTGGGAATCTTCAGGGTATCTGTTACCTTGTAGACACCATGAGGAATATAGACGATCGACGACAGGTTCGCGGCAACAATGAACACACTATTGAGAATGATAGTGTCGTCAGTCACGCCGTCGCCCTTAGCCCCATAGGCCGTGACGTCGAACACCTGGCTGTGACCAATATCGGCGTATTGTGGTCGACGGCGGGTGAAAAAGTTAAATGTTCCTTTGTTGTAAGAAATAGAGCTAACGAGTTCTTTGGCACGCTGCATGGTCGGAAGCACTTTTTGCTGGGCAAATTGAACGTCTGCGTCCTGAGCGTAGAGGCCAAAGCCCCATGCGTCAATGAGCACCTCGTTCCCCCCCGCGAGGATGGGATCGGCGCGTCGTTCCGCCATGATGGCTTTCTCAACGTTGTAGAACCCAACATTCTGCAAGAGGAATGCGGTGGAATTGGTACTGTACAGCGAGGTCAAGATGCCAGTTGGGGTATTGGCAATCACGGCGTCAACAAGGATAAATGAACCAACGCCTTGGCCACTGCTCATCGGACCACCGGCCTGGAAGGAAAGTTTGTTTCTTAGCATATCGAAACTATGAGGTCGACAGGATGCACTCACACCACCAGTGACGACGATTCCTGTTTGGCATGATTCAATCACAACATCCTGCATGGTCCACGACCAGTCCCAGTGGATCTGAAGGGCAGTTTTGCAATTGACAAACACAAGATGCTGCGTGGTAAATTGCTGGTTCCCGAGATAAGCACTATTGGGCCGATGGTAAGCACTCAATCAGAAATTAAAGCAGTACTCTGGAAAGTAGCACACACCCAAAGTTTCCGCCAACAAAAGTTAGATTGCTCATGAAGCCCCCACTTCCATTTTCCATGTAGAGCCCCTACAATAAGGTCAGTCTCGATAGGTTAAAGACGAGATTTGACGCCGGACAGACCTGCTGGGTTGTGCCCGCATCTTGAGACATATAGAACTCTATATTCTCGAGTGAGGTCCCCTGAGCCACCTGCCAATGGATGGCACACACGTATGCAGTCGGATCGGTACGTGTGATGTCCATCTTGAAGTTGCGAATGTTCCGTAGAAAATTGTTTGTGTTGAGGTACCTAGCCATGGGTGAGCGGGCGCCGACGTTGGAACAAGCATGGTAGGCAGTTATATGAGAATCTTACCATTCCTGCTGATCTCCAACATAGACATCGGAGGTGATCACACCTAGACCAACAAAACTGGCGGCTGCGAGAATCGTGGGATAATTGGTGGGCTATTGCGCGAAAATATCAGATTGGGCCACCTGATGAAGGGAAAAGCAAGACTGTTCGACAAACTCACATCGCCGAGGAATTGGGTATTGTAGTATTGTATAATTGGACTGCTGACTAGGTATGTGCCGGGAGGGAAGTAGACCACTGCTGGGTAGATTGTGCTTGAGCCACAGTCGGCACCACATCTCCCGCCGTCAGAAATTGCTTTGTTGATAGCGGCTGTATTGCTTGCATGAGCAGGTCATTCTTCCCTGAGATCTTCTCCAGTCATCTATTATCTTACCGGTATCGTCAGATAGTCCATCTCCTGCTCCGTAGATGTTAGGATTGTTTCTGTGCGACCAGGGTCAGCAAGGTCCAGGTTTGCTTACCCTTTGCGCCATAGTCCTTGATATTCCTCCACACCTACAAACATTGATTTCACGAGTCAATCGCGCGCGGAGAAGAGGATTATCGAGCGAGCAGACTGACCTTGTATCCTTCCGGGGCATATGGGCTAGCGCCGCGCTGCTCTATGTTGGCCATCCAGTAACCAGATCCCGATGCGGCCCTTTTCTCCAGGGATTTGTCCGTCACCCGAATCGGGGCTTCCATATCGACGGAAGGCGCATACTCCAGCAATCCGTCTGGGCCGCGTAGGCTTTGACTGGCCACATTTGTGTCATTCCCTTTAAGGCCATACTTGGCTTGTACTTTGGCTGCGAGGGCGCTTTCTTTCCCCTTTGACGGAGAAGGAGGAGCGGATTCCGCAAGTATGCGGGCAGCTTCAGCCAGGTCCGGAGAGATGGAGTACACGAAGCTCTGGCTGTCAGGAGATGAGGAGCTATCTCTCTTCCTACCCGAATAGTCGACAGATTCGGCCTTGAAAGAGGCCGCCATGGAGGACAGTTTTCGCACATTCTCGGGCGAAAAGTCCAGGGGGGCAGCGGTAACTCTCTCGCCAGTCACCAGGCTGGGATCGGCGAGCTCATATCGATTGTATTGAATGTTCTCATAGCGTAGCTTGTTCACGACTCGCAAGGCTTCAAGGGCACGAGAGACCTTGCGTGCAGCCTCTGAGTCCCCAAACGTTGCATTGACAGCTCGAGGATGATGAAGGTGAGAATGATCCGTGTGCCCGTGGGATATCCCTCGTGCACTGCCGGTGCTAAGTAGGATCAAGCAAAGGAGAAAAAATATCCGCCTCATCTTGCTCTGCCTTATAAGTCCGTTAGGAATGGAGCGGCAGTTTTCTGTCTCCCCGGCGATCAGAAAGATCAAGAAAGCAAACAGATAGGACAAAAGGGAAAAGTGCAGTTGACTTGGGGGAATAGGCTGCGCAAAAGAAAAATAAGTAAACCCAGTGTGTGCAATCTCTGAGTCCAGCATCCATTTCTAATATCAACAACTGCAGCACGGAAATTGCCCGTACTTTTCGGATAGCGTTTTTGGCAAGATGTATATCCTTTCGTTTCTCTTTCTGTCTCTTTGCTCTCCTGCCCCCTGTCCCCTGTTTTGCGCCGTTCTATCCGTTTTCATGCGGCGCCCGATTGGAAGGGGTGTAGCATGATTCCACCCGTCCCTCTGATCCGATAATGCAAGCACAATAACCGAGGTCTGTATATATTATATTGCGCTCCTCGGACCATTTTATCCCTGACATTTTAGCAGTGTCAGGATGGTTGGATAATTTCGTTTCGTTTGGCCTTCTGATTCCAGCCCATCAAGCCAGAAAAGAAACGGGCCGATGAGAGGGAAATCAGAGGACCAAGCGGAGAGACCGAGAGCCGGCGCACAGCCCATCGATTTTTGATGCTTGGTCACTTGAGCACTGGGCGAATGATGTGCGCTTGGCGTTGTTTAATGCTGGAAGACTTAGGAGACATTTTTATAAATTGCGGCACAGCCTTTACATGGCCTTGCCAAGAGAAACTAACCAAATGGTGTTACATTGCTAAGATCAAGCGTCACTACGAGTATGGAGCTTGGTTTAGAACTGCTTCAGGGATCAGAGATTACTACCAAGCCGCCATGCCATTTTCAGCATTGACTGCGTTCTGTAGTTAGTCATACTTAGTAGAACTTTTACAGAGTAATAGGTTCTTAACTACATAGTAGTGGTATGATATACTAGTCTGACTAGGTTGAACTTCTGCCTACGGAGTAAATGGCAGCAGACCATGAGAAATTTGCGCCGAACTCCGTAGAGTGGAAGCCGTCTCTCAGAGGCCTGTGGCATCACATCGACAAACTGTCGGGTGTCAACGCTCTGAGGGCTTCATATATATCATATATCGGTCGACCTCGGTATGAAATACCACTCTTATTGCCATATGTAATGTCAAATTAGGAATATACCCCTTTAGTCCGGTGCCATGAGATTTTGACAGTGTACGTCGGAGGCAAGATAAACAACGCGAAAATGGTTGCGCTATTTGACCCTCATCGAATGCCTCGGACTGTCAGCCTGGAACAACTTCACAAGATTGGGAAGCCAAATCTGTTCTACGTTAGCTTCGAACCAGGGTTCCCTGCCAATGACATGGGATGTCATACCTCCTACTTCTGATAACTGACGACTATGCTAGTAATTGATCCCGGTGCTTGGCGGCGCGGACTATGCCTGTAGGATAGGCAATAGCTCCTGTTCCTGGCATATGAGCCCACTTGTGATGGAGCATTTCCAATCTTACCAGGCTCTAGACCACCTACCAACGGATTCTCAGATGCCGCCTTCTCGTAATCAACAGTCCTTGATTGAACTCAACGGAAGGGCGGCACGACCGACTCTCCTAGAACTGGCTCTAGCCTCTCGTTCCGATATGCGAAGCGGAAATTGCTTTTCCCGGGATATTACCCATATTGGCTCTACTATCCATTCCGCTTGGCTCGCCCACCGGTGTCGTCCTGTGAGATGAGAGATGAAGGAAAGAATGACACTAGTTTGCTGGGCTAATCATCAATGTCACATTCATCCCCAAGTCAGGTAGAATGAACACAGACGAGGGACCCCTGTTTCGCGACGAAGCGCGATTTGGGCTTTTTTGTCTGGCCTGGAATATATACCCTACCTTCCCTGACCAGGAGTCGCGAAACCATCGTGCATCAGCAAAATGGCTAGCCGTCCAGTCTCCTTCTTGCAGGTCGTTGGTCCTGTACTCATACTGCTATTGTTTTGTGCTGCCTCTGTGATAGCCCAGGACTGCAGTAAGAATAAGCCTTGTGCCACAGGATGTTGGTGGGTGATTGCACCCCGAATGGAGGAGGCCGACTCATCTGGCTAACTCGGTTATCACGACTACAGCTCCAAAGCCGGATATTGTGGCACTACCCCGGAGCATTGTGGCGAAGGGTGTGTTTCCAACTGTGATTACAAACTTGGTTGTGATGCCTCGAATCCTTGCCCAAGTGGTTGTTGGTACGTTATCTCCCCGCACAACGGAGTCCGGACTCGTGACCATGAGATCAGAGACTGAAGTCTAATCTAGCAACAAGTTTGGTTTCTGTGGGCTTGGTCCGGACTATTGTGGCAAGGATGTGTGCGTTGTCGGCTGTGAATCTAAAGCGTATTGCGATCCTGGATATGGTGCTGAATGGGCGGAAAAGGCTCACTGCCCCTTAAACGTGTGCTGTTCGAAATATGTAGGTCTTGATGCTCATGAGACTAAATGTTCGAGGACAATGCTCATTCTCGTTGACAGGGCTTTTGTGGGATCACCGAAGAATTCGTAAGTGGCGGGCCAGGCTGCGTGGAGCATGATTCTTCCTTACTAACTTGAGCTCTTCCTCGGCCAACAGTGCGGGAACAAGACTGTGAAGCATGAGACCTGCAGCAAAGATAAATACCTCTCGCGCGTGGTTGGCTACTACGAGGGCTGGAGCTCCCGGCGAGGTTGCAATACGGTCTGGCCGGAGCAAATCAAGCTGGGCGTCTACAGTCACATCAACTTTGCGTTCGCGACCATCCACCCGGAGACCTACGAGGTACTGCCGGCGGATGAGCGGGACGTGCCGCTGTATAAACGTCTTACAGATCTGAAGCAATATGATCCGAACCTCAAGGTCATGATTGCGCTGGGAGGCTGGACCTTCAACGACCCTGGTCCCACGGCGACGCTCTTTTCTGATCTGGCAGCGTCCGAGGAGAAACAAAAGAAATTCTTTAAATCCCTCGTCTCGTTCATGTCGACCTATGACTTTGACGGTGTGGATCTAGACTGGGAGTACCCTGAGGCTTCAGATCGGAGTGGAAGACCGGCTGATTATGACAACTTCCCCAAGTTCATGGCGAACCTGAAAAATAGCCTGGATAAAACGCCTGGACGAAGCGAGCTGTCCATCACTCTGCCTGCATCGTATTGGTATCTCCAGCACTTTGATATCAAGGAACTCGCAAAGCATGTTAGCTTCTTCAATATCATGACTTATGATCTGCATGGGACCTGGGATCGGGGAAACAAGTGGACCGGCGAATACTTGAATGCCCACACCAATTTGACTGAGATGAAGACAGCGTTCGATCTGCTGTGGCGGAACGATATTGACGCGGACATGGTGACCATGGGCTTAGCGTTCTACGGGCGTGCGTACACCGTTGCCAGCCCGAACTGCATGGAGCCTGGGTGCCTTTATCTTTCCGGCGGAAAGAAGGGCGAGTGCAGTGACGAAACCGGAGTCTTGCTTAACAGCGAGATCATGGATATCATGTCCAGCAAACAGCTGTCTGCAAAACTGTACAAGGACGCTGCTGTCAAAGTAGTACACTGGGAAGACCAGTGGGTGTCCTACGATGACAAGGAGACATTTCAGATCAAGACCGACTTTGCCCGAGAGCAGTGTCTCGGCGGTGTCATGGTCTGGGCCATCAGCCATGATACGCAGAGCGGCACCTTCGCAGGCGCGCTGGCCGCAGTGTCAAATCGGCGCGTTTTGGCGCAACGGCAGGTACAAGACGATGACTATGTTGTTGACACAACCAACTACGATACCTGCAAGTGGAGTAACTGCGGCGAGCCCTGTCCGTCGGGCTGGCAAATGATCAAACGGGAGGACGAATGGCGCAGGAGCTCCAATGACTACATGCTCGACTCCACGGGCTGCAACGGCGTCGGCTACCGTTCCTGGTGCTGTCCTCCAACCACGGCCCCGAAATGCGGGTGGTACAGCTTCAACAATGGACACTGCAGCTCTGGCTGTCCTAGTGGATCGGTTGAGGTTGGCTCAACACGAGAAGGCTGCAAGAACTACGAATTTGATTACCAGGCTGCCTGTTGCACAATCCAGGACAGCGATGGAAGCGAGATCACGAGCATGGCCCTGTACAACACCTGTGAGTGGGCAGCTTCTCCTCTATGTGACACGGGCGTATGTTCATTCAAAGGCACTACAAAGCCTACTGAGCTGGTCAAATCCGGCACGGGCAGTGGAGGTGTCTATTGTCTTCCTAACGGGAAAATGGAGCAAACTGTTTTCCCCAAAGGACAATTGAGTGAGCGCAAGCTCTGCTGCAACACGAATGAGGCAACCCGGAAATGGGAAAAATGCGAATGGCACAATAATATCGGCTTGGGAAAACCGGGGCAGGATTGTTATTCTGGGTGTCCAAAGGATACGATTCGAGTAGCCATGAACACTTACAATCATGGTTGTTACGCCAGGGGCGGCCAGGCCTTTTGCTGCAACGCTAACTACTACACTGAGTCGAAGCGGCTGTCAGACGATCTCCAGACGTTTCAGGATGCTGTCGATGCCTGGATTGCAGACCCAGCATGCGTTACAGAGACGTCGACAACCCAGTCTGTGAGCGCTAGAGCCTCGAAGTGCGACCGGGGCGTCTTGCATATGTATCTCGCGCAGCTGTTCCTGCGCGGGCTGGTCAATCAAGACCACTGGGACGCGGTTGCGAAGATCTGGAATAGGGTGAGCGACAAGTTTTCGCACCTCGGGGCGGAGTCCCTGTTCAACTTTGTCACCTCCAAGGAGAAGTACCCGGCCTACTTCATACATGGGAAGGACCAGACAGCCGACGAGGTGTTGGATCGCCCAGTTTCTTTTGATCTTATGATTGGCGGTGATCCAAATTTCATCTCCTGCGATCTGGACTTGTGCACTTACATGGATTGTTCCAAGGTTGATGCTGATGAATCCGACGATGCACTTGCAGCGCGGGATGTGCTTAACATGCTTATAGGCCGTCAAGCGAAAGACGACGACAACGGGCCAACTTGGTTCAGTTGCAACGACGGGCTGAAAAAGGCCAAGCTCCAGTATACCAGAGCCGACTATCCCACGATCTCACAGTGGGCCCCGGATGAGGATGCCATGAAGGAAGCCGTTGACTATGAGTCCAAGGAGGAATGCACTAACTGTGAAGTAACCACCAAGCAAGCGAGCAAAGGGGACCAAAAGAAAAAGAAATATACCAGTATGTTTTATTCCTTTTGCATGCCCAGCCGTTTCCCACTCTGTCCTTTACTCACCTTTTGCGACCTCACGCAGCGGAGCATATTATTGAGGTCAAGACCATCCTTCGGTTCCTCAAGTGGTTGATCAAACACGAAGAGTGCGGCGTTGATTGCACATTCTTCGCTGAATACTTCTTCAAGGCAGTGTTGACTGGAAATAATCCGCCGCTCCCAGGCGGGAAAAATTCCCAGAAGCCTATCACGCGTGTCATGGAGGCGCTCGGGAGCCTCAACCTGCGGGAGAACTTCCGATTGCTCGAGAAGGGCCTCAATGAGATTAAGGGCGGAGTATGCATTTCTGGTTTCCAGCATTGTCGCTGTCGTTTACTGGCCCCCTCGGGACCGTCGTCGAGGCTGATTCATTGTACAGATCTGGGGAGTGAAAGCGGAACCTAAAGACTGGCATAAATGGATCACCTCGGATGATCCCAGCCCTGCTCTAGCTTATCTGCGAAATGTAAGTACCATCCATCTCTCAAACCCGCCACCAGCTGCTTGCAAGTTACATCTGACACAGCGCTTTCTCGCTCAGGTCATTGCGGTCTATAATTATCTGAATCTCCCACAGGTCTGGTCCCGCTTCCAGGCGACCAACCGAATCCTGCGCGGACAGATGCAATATGTGTCTGATGCGTATAACACAGCTAACAAAGATAATAAGGACAAGAAGCAGATCAAGCTACTAGAATGCTGGGACAAGTTCCTCGCGGAATTCCTGAAAGAGATGCTCGGGGACTCCACCAAGTTCATCCAAGTGGGGATCGGGCAGTTGCGGACTTATTGGATGGAGAGTCGCGACCCAGAGAACAAAGATTGGCTTACCAAAGTTGCTCAGGTTAAGGGCTACCTGGATGCATTAGAGGGAAAGATTGGCAAGGTCAGTTTGGATCTAAACCATCTGGTCTAAGTACTACTGTGTCCGCGGTTTTTTTGAGCTCGTCATTCGCCGAAGTGCCACAACGACTTAGATATAGGAACCACTAGCATCCCTTGCAATGAATTCTCGGTCATGGTTCTCAGTAAATCTATAACCAACAGTTATGCAAATATACCTGTCTCTGCTGTAGAAGCAACTAATTATTTCTACTTCAGGATTCTCATAAATCATAAACACCTTGGTCCCTTAGTTTCGAAATAACATACACTAACCGACCCTTCCACCTAAGTTACAGGTCGCTCGGTACTTCCATTTCACTAGAATCTTAGCATCATTCCACTGGTGATAGTCCAGCTGACACAGAAGGAGGAAATCTTTAGTACTTTGTTGAGAAATATAAGACCCTAGACTGATAGGGATAATATCCGGACACCTTTTTAGCCTAGTGGTACCTATTATATTTCGATATTCTTGTAGTGTGGGTTAATCATGTGAATATTCATAAGTGGCGATCACTGATTATTGCTAAGGCCACATGGCCCACAACTGATTCAATATGAACTATGTGTTCCTTTCTTGCCTTGATGACTGCAGGCAAGATAAATCACGTTCAATTTACCCCAGAGGGATACTCCGTCAATCCTGAACAGAAATCGTCCGCCCAAGCTGAGCGGTAATAGCTTGACAAGGCTTCAGCTCCACTCTCCAGGTCCTCCAAACAGCAAGCATCCTACTGTCTAGACGTAGATACACTCAACGCCGCGCAACCAAAATCAAGTAAGCCACATAGACAGCGACCCCGCCAGCGAAGACCGTGGTGAGATAGAGGACAGCTCAGTATGCTATAGGGCTGAGACGCGACTTTCGGGCATGTTCCTCCACATCTGGATTCTGGAGCTTAGCCTTCCGTAGTAGATGGACCACGTGGCGCGTCGCTTGGCCCGCGGAGCGATGATCCCGCATCCACTGCCGCTCCTATGCTAGCTGGGCCTCCTGCCTCCTTCTATTTTAGTGCCGTCACCAGGATTTACTCCAGTCCAGCGCTTGGTTTCTTAGCCTCCTTGGCACCTTGGATGCCTGCGTGTCCTGGGACCCAGCCGACTGTACTTGTGCCCCTTTGGCGCGGAGTGAGCTCATCAACTGGATGATCTCCTCGGGAGTGTAATGAGCCGCCGAACGGCCCGGGTTGCGAATGCCCTGTATCACTAATTGGCTATCAGGATGCTGCAACCGCCTAGCCCGGGTCCGTAGACATCTACTAAAACCTCCAGTGCCATTGCAATGCCCCGGAAACCACCATCCTGACTCTTTGTCTCTGGTATCTCCTCCTTGCCGCTCTTTACCTCGGTACCACCGCTGCCACGCCTACGTAGCCCCCGAAGCCGCTAGCTGTGAGGTCGCCATGGATCGCGGTGGCTTGTCCCATTGTGTCCGCGATTACAGCGTTTAGGGGTCCCACCAAGGGGCACCATGTAGGGCTCCCTGATCGCTTAGGCGTCCTGGTACTCGACGGCCGTGCCTTTCCCCACCACTGCTGTGCTTGCCAGGGGTGCATGAACTGCACGCGCATATGTCTGAGGGGCTCAGACTTATTCTAAACCCTGGATAGGGGCATGCGACAAGCCAGATTGACTAGAGTCTAACCAGGAGCTACAGAAATTGTGACTGGTTTGCAGATATATTTCTCAGCTAACGTAGACCACATCCATAAGGACCCTATAATAATTAAAATAAACAATATAGGAACACTACCAGTAACAGCCAGCCAAGCCAGTAAAGGTGTTATGATGTAGGCACAGGTAGCTGCTATAAGTGTCCTTATTTTAGTTGTAAGACAACCACACTAGCTTTTATTAAGCCTCTGGGTTTACATGACCATGATCCTAAATTTCAAGTCTAAAAGGATTAATGACTTTACTGATCTAAGATTATATCAGCCCCTCCCTAGCATCAGCTATAATCAGCGCGGATGATCCAAGCAAGATCCATTACCTAGCAAAGGAGAATGAAGTGGATTCTTTAGTGTAGTAAGGGCCATAAGAGCCTAACAGTGAAGTCAGGAAGATATACTACTGGAGGGAAGGAATACTGTAGATGCAGAAACCATCCACATCTATATAGAGCTTAGAAGCTGCTTTCTAATGATGATATAAAGGTGCTCCGGCGCACATAGGACTAATCACCCATAGTGTTAATAGGACAGTGACTAATTTGGACTGATTAAGACATGAGAAGCAAATAAAAGGGGGTTTCTCCGTATGCTTAAACTGCTGGAACGCACACTGCTCCTCTAGTAGGGAGCGGGACCATGCAATAGATGAGCGCCAGAGGACACAATACGCGCTCAGCAAATCCAATTTTCCATGGGAGTTCCACGCGAACGACCCAATCGATGCCCGGCGGAAACCCCGTATAGAGCAGCCAGCCGGCCTTGAGCAACTAGCAGGTTCCGGACGGCAACCAAAAGTGGCTTGACATGGACGCAGCACATACCACAGGCCACTGCCATGATAGGCCAACATTATCTGCCAATGGACCCCTCAGTTGTGATCACATCATTAAGGAGCTCTTCACCATATTTTAAGATCAGTTATCTAAATCTACGCCATCGTTAATGAGTTATAAGCACTATCACCATAAGTAGTAGCTAATAAGAGCTAAGTTACAATTAATGCCACATCATTGCGTGAAGATATCAAAACTTGGTATACTTAATGATATGATTATAGCTAAGCCCAATGTGAGATCTAAAGATTATTAAGTAGTTTAATCACCTATAATTGTCCCGGGCTAGGAGCTTTAGGAACCTATGACCTAGGTTTGGATGGTAAGAAATCACTAAAGTGTTCCAACTCGAGCCGCAGCGGCCGAACATAAGGGAGTGCGACAGAAGAGAGGTCACATGACATAAGCTGACTACATCGATTATAATGGCATCACGTGACAGCTAGCTGGTAACAGAGCCAAAAAGTCATTGATGCCTGAGGTATCTAGCGAGTGCGGATAGGCTCGAGCATACTCCGTAGGCCTTGCCCGTTACATGAAACTTAAACTAAATTAGAATAGATCAGGTTTGATTCTAATTTCTAAGATTTAGACTTAAAATCACTGGTACAGTTCCGAACAGGGTTAGACTCACCCAAACTTGGACTGAATGCAAGTTATGCAACTCTAGTCTCATCAATATTTACTGTTGACGTGGGCCAAGGCATATTGATTCTATTACACTCATGAATAATGAATATGATATGGACTGAAGAGTTATTTAGTGCCCAGCGCCAGCTACGAACACGAACAGAAGGGTTTAATCAAATAAAATAAGGATTTACCATTGACCTGACTCGCTGCATATGCAGGTACCAGGCACAACTCCTCTTCTTCAGGAATATGACCAGAATTTTCCGCCAACGGGACCTGTCATTGACGATTGTTCACTTACTTTGAAACACAGACTGTTTCCAATCTTCCCTGTTCGTATGCGGAATAGACGGAATATCTCAACTGGTGGACCCGAAACACGCCGAGGTTTGGCGCCGTCTCCACTAGGAGCATCAACCTGCGACAGGAGCCCCAGGTCCAGACAGCTAGTGTTTTATGCTTATTTACACACTCGCCGGATAGATTAAGTGGCGCTTGCAGCAATATCTTCAGCATCCAACATTGGCTTCCTTGATTCATGCAGTGGTCCGCGCCCAATGGACTACGAACCGTTGTCTCAACACACAGACGCACTATTGCAAGACATTGACGCATTCAGGCTGATATACTGAGTTTCTCAGATTTAAAAGAACCCAGCTTTTTCCATGGATTCGACTGTTCTTCATTCTTCTACCAATTCATTCATTCTCATTGACTGAGTCTGCGCTGGTCGCTTACATTCTTTCTATCTATCTATTCATTCATTCACTTCTCATTCGCCTGCCATTCTTTTACAATGTCTCAAACAAAGTCTCTGTCTCTCCTGGCAGTGCTGCTGTCGGCCACCCGTGTTGCTGCCCACGGGCATGTCACCAACGTCGTCGTCAACGGAGTCTCCTATGCTGGCTTCGACATTAACAGCTATCCCTACATGTCGGACCCTCCCAAGGTCGCCGCTTGGACCACCCCCAACACCGGTAACGGCTTCATCGCCCCCAGCGCGTACAACTCGCCCGACATCATCTGCCACCAAAACGCTACCAACGCACAGGCCTATATCGAAATTGCAGCTGGTGATCGCATTCAACTTCAATGGACTGCCTGGCCAGAATCTCATCATGGGCCCGTTATTGATATGCTCGCATCTTGCGGCGAGTCGTGTACAACCGTCGACAAAACTTCACTCAAATTCTTCAAAATCGACGGAGTAGGCCTGGTGGATAACTCGGCGGTGCCGGGCACCTGGGGCGATGACCAGCTGATCGCCAACAGCAACAGCTGGATGGTCGAGATTCCTAAATCTATTGCGCCTGGCAACTATGTCCTTCGCCACGAGCTGATCGCCCTGCATGGCGCCTTTGAGGAAGGCGGGGCGCAGAACTACCCCCAGTGCTTCAACCTCAAGGTTACCGGATCCGGTACTGACTCACCAGCTGGTACCCTGGGCACGGAGCTGTACACCGAGTCCGACCCCGGTCTCCTGGTGGACATCTACAAGTCAATCGCCTCGTACGCCGTTCCCGGTCCTGCCATGTACTCCGGCGCCGTCTCCATCACCCAGACTACCTCGGCCATAACCTCGACCGGCACCGCAACCGTCGGCTCAGGCGCCGACAGCACCCCCGTACCCTCGTCTGCTGCGTCCTCCAAGTACTCGACTATCGCCGTGCAGGTTCCCACCACCAAGGCCCAGTACACCCCTGTCCCCTCCAGCTCGCCTTCGACCTTCGTCACGTCGCCTGCGCCTAGCACTCCTGTCCCCAGCAGCAGCTCCGTCCCTGTTACGTCTAGCACAGCGGCTCCCCAGCCTACTCCTGCTCCTGGCGGTACTCAGACTGCCTATGGTCAGTGCGGTGGACGGAACTGGACTGGTCCCACTGCTTGTGCTTCCGGCTCGACCTGCAAGACCTGGAACCCTTATTACTCCCAGTGTGTGCCTAACTAGTTGATGTACAGTAGTATATAGTGAGCATTAGTTGTGACGGTACATTGTTTTGATATCAGACCGTTCAGACGATTCACGTAGATGAACCCTCAAGGACCTAAGCCTATCTGGGTAGTTTTATTTAAAGTTTCCCGTCGCTGTGAGCGAAAGTAGATTAGAGGCGTCCCGACAGTCGCCAACCCCTGGCAAATCTGAGTCAATTAGATCACAATGACTCCTTAAGCCCATGAAGTGAGCAGTACCTTCAGCTGTAGCAGATTCCAGGCTGCAAAGACACGTTCGACAAAGGCAGGTGCAGCATAGCCCTCGTCTGTAGGCCGAAGGCGGAGCGGAAATATGGCGGGGATGTGTGTTGGTCAACTGTGGTAACATCTCCAGATGTTACACTGTTCCATTCTGTCTTCTCCTCATCACCTGCTTCCACTGTTCTTTTTCAAAAATCTCCCTGGGAAGTTCAGGCAGGCAGTATCGGCTGGCAGTCTAACCTGTGTTACACGCCTCACCCTGCGACCAGCCGGCGCCCCTCTTCAATTCCGCAAGCAGTTTCTTGAAACAAGCATTATGCTGTGATGCACCCTTGTCGGACGCCTAGGTCAATAGATATGATGCACATGGGGGGATCTCGTCCCGATGAGCAAGCTTTCCGTCAGAGCGGTCGTCTCCAGCCGACCGACTTCGGCCCGCTATTATGATAATACCATATATCAACTTTGGCTCGCTACTATCCGTGCTTAGTGGCAATGACAGTCTTACCAACGCTGCGATGGACGAATCCATCTCCATCTTCTCTTTCTTGTTCTTGATGGCCTTTTGCTCCTTCTTGCACAGAGCACGGGGCGGTCATCGCGTTTCAGAGCTTCCATTCGGAAGCACCCCCTTTGTTGACAATCACTTGCTGCTAAAAATCCGTCAGATTCAACTTCAATTTACACCTAGAATAAGGATACGGAGACCTGTGGGATCGACGCTGAAAATGACTGCTACTGAGGCTATAAATGGCCGCATTTTCACCTGTATTATCCCTCAGTGAGGTGCTGCTTTAGTACTTAAGCATGTACTACACACTACTATTCTGGACCTGCTAAGCATTGTTTAGTCACCATCCTGAGGTGATAAACCTCAGTAAGCATTTACTCTATTTAACTCATGACTAGAATCAATGCTAATAATGGCCTCCTTAGCAGCTAGATCTAGCTCCCTTGAATTTAAGAAGATTGCCTATATACTATATAAAATACCACCTATCCTACTCCTTTCTTTCCCCTATGGCACATTGTGCCTTTCTCCCGCCTTAATGCCTTCTATATTAATCTATAAATTAATCACTGCTTGAATTACTTTAGAAATAATCATCTTTCTCTTATATTTGGATTGGTTTGCTGTTCTAGAACGTATTCACCCCGATGATTCGTTTCATGTAATCAGATTTCCCTTATGCTATATGCTGCCCTGGTTGGGCCTGTCGGAAAGACAGCAATTCGTATACTCCGCCATCCCCAGGTCTTTAATCTGCCGAAAGTGCTGTGCCCGATTATATCCAGTCAAAGGCAACGCGCGCATTGGACAGCACACTCGACGACTGCGAAATCCACCCTGTCGGATCCTGACTATCCCTCAGATTTGTCTGAACCGCTACCTCTTGACGCGCCTCAGAGCCTACCCCCGATATACTATTCCACGCTTCATCGCTATCCGGCATACCAAAGGACAAATCCGCCAGGGTCAAAAGCTCACTTTTGGCACTGCTGCCATCTGCGCCAGTTGGCTCTAGGCGAGTAGACAGTCGGCACACCTTATATAGGGCTAAGCCGAACCGCTTTATCTCTTCGATGCTCAGCCACACCAGCGTCAGCGGGGCTGCCGAGCTGTGTTGCGCAAGCATGTTTGGATACGAGAAAATACCACCAAGCCGACAGCTTTCGACCAGAGTCACCAGAAGGTCGTACTCGTCGTCCTGAATCCGATATCGCAAGTTCAGATCAATGGCTGCCCTTTCCCCTGCGAGAAATAACGCAAAAATACATTGCAGGAGCACGCTCTGATACGTTGCCATGGGCCATGAGGTACTCTGGTTTTGGTTGGATACGCGCCACCTATCCTGATATGGATGAAAAATGTGATCAGTAGGGCGGAATTTCCTGGATCCTTGTATGTCTCACCATCTGAGTACGAATCGCAGTAGACAGGCTCCGGTGAAGATCTGTAGCAGCGTCCCGCGATTTCTTGCTTCCCTCTATCCACAGTCCTATCATGATAACGGATTGAATTAGTACACAAGGTTCTTTGGTCACGTCAAATGTCCCTTGGTGCAGAAATGGCCATTTCGGATGGAAATTATCAAAGTAAATATCGACGTAGTCAAGAGCGATCCACCGAGGCGGATGGGGTTGTTGTGAGATCTGAACGTTGTTGTCGACAATGTGTTCTTCTTGAGACTCTCCCTTCCCAGGAGAACAGGCGATACCCCGTTTCTGACATGCACTGCATGGAAATCCACCATAACAGCGTTCTTTGCGGGCGTGACACGCAGCGCAAGCCTTCTGGGCCCGAGACGCAGGAGGTGCTCTATCCGGGTGATAGATCCGAATGTGCCGGCGCAAGAGGTCACTGGTCGTTAGTTAGTATGCATATCTATGAGTTTTAATAGCATGCAAGGTTTAACGTCCCTCCTGGTCAAGGTGCTCTCACAATACGGGCAAGAAAAGCAATCTCCTCGGGAATGACTCGCCACATGTCGATTCAAATGCTCCTTGCGTCGATATTTCGCCCCACAACCAGGGTGGTCACATTGAAACGGCGGAGGACTCGAGCAAGAAAGCGGCTGCGGTGGCATGGTGTCTGATAGGAGAATGATATCGGACTAGATTCCTCTGCAAGACTTGCTTAACCTGGGCAAATCGGCACGAGGGATGCACGCAGTGGGCAGAAACTGCGGAGTACGGCAGTTTATGGTTGGTTAAGCCTACCGGCATCCCACTCGGTTGGTTCTGCTTATATATACCAAGATGACAAACGACCATTCTCGCATCGTCATGAGTCATGACTTATAGTCCTTGGACAATAGACGACAGAATTTCCATAATCATTGAAATGTGATCGTTAAATTATTGCATTTCTATGCAAAACAGCCAAACACCAATAGTTGACTATCAATGTATTATAAGGCGGGCAGCCTTCCTGACAGACAAGACGCACGTGTTCGTCATCTTCCATTAGGCGGGATGCCGCCCGGGAACCCCAGCATGAATTATTTCAACCTGGTACGTCACCAACTGACTAGCAGTAGTTATGAGTGAATGTGGCAACTGAGTCAGCCAGCCTCCACGCCCGCTAATTAGTCAATTACTTCAGACCCGCCATGTGGGATACCGACGATAGTTTGGTTGAAGGCGGTCGTAATTAGATAATGGTTAAGCGTACCACTGTTGGAGATTGGAATGTTCGGAGGGGATCCCTGGCTTCAGGGTACGACCTTCATGTCGGCTCGCAATGTTCGCAGTCCGGGAGTAGTATAAACTTTTCATGTCTGTATTAGCTCTATTATCATCATGTCTGGTCCGTATAGTCATTGCTAGGAGCATTTACGTCGATCGAAGTCACTTCAGAGGATAGAATAAATAGTGAACATTGATGGGTCGACCGCTTATAGCTCACTCATAATGAGCTTGATTTACTCTGCAGGACACAGAAAAGTAATAAAGAACTAACCCTTCCGTTGACCCTGTATCGATTCGCTAGAAGAGGTACGGAATGGAATGACCCAGATACTGTATAGTAGGGCTATTGTACACCGATCAGAACATACGAAGTGGTCAAGGCATTTCGATACGAGACCCTTCACGGTGGAATATTTGTGCTAAAGTCTGATGGCCCAAGAACATATGAGTATTAATACAAGAGACACTTTCCCAAACGCACAGCATTAATAGACAACCTTGGGAACACCAGGAATTGTCCACACAACTTTTTCCATAAACCTCTCTTCATTGAACACCTTTACCAAATCTTCTCGATCCTCAGTGAAATGGGCCCAAGATTCAAAATGAATTGGAATCATGACGTCTGCCCCAATATCGCGGGTAAGTTGCACAGCCTGTTTTCCGTCCATCGTAATCTGGATAGGCCCCGTTGGGAACTCGAATGTGGCGTTGCCCAAGTTGAGAATGGCAGCAGTGATATGCCATTTGTTTCCAATCTCTCGCAGCTCATCGATATACACCGTGTCACCGGAAAAGTAAATTGCATTAGGCTTTCCAGTAGCATCAACCCCAAAGGAATCGGTCTCCAGAATAAACCCAGTGACCTCTCCACCGGGGAAGTGTTTACAGGGAGTCCCAGTAATTCGAAAGAGCTTTCCTCCGATGGTCGCAGTCACGGTTTGCCAGGGGCGAAGACCAACAACTCCCGGGCGAGGGCGTAGATTAGATGCACCATCCATAGTAGTGAAAACCCTCCGGCCATCAAGCAATTTGCGGCCTTCTGGATCCAAATTGTCGAGGTGATCTTCATGGCTTAAAAGAACCGCATCAATTGGTGGCAGATCATGAAGCTGGAGGGCAGGACCTTGTTTGTTGATCAAGTGCGGTGGTGGCGGGATACTGTCAAAGCCATATGCTTTCAGATCCATTTTCTCCCAAGCGGGCGTGGTGTCATATTCGGTCCCCTCGATGGACCCAAAAAAAGGATCCGTAAGAAAGTTAATGCCATCGATGTTCAGAATCGCAGTTGCCGTGGTGATATGGGTGACTGTAAGACTCGGGGGTGACATAGCTGCGATAAGAGGTAAGTTAATGTTGGGAGAACCAAAGATGGCTTGTTTTGAAAGAAGACCAAAGGTAAAAGCAAATAACACCTCGTGTATTTGATGAGACGCCTATGACTATGGGGGTTCGTCTTTGGGTTTAAATACTTTCTTCTGGGTGGAAGGAGGCTTATAAATAAGGGCGAAGATTCCCACTTATTGAATACATAAGCTTGTCATTTTCGCCATTGTTCGGTAAAGGTGCTTGCTCTTGACGTCGGCTTATCTCACTTAGCCCGGATGGCGGATGGGTGCGGGCAGTCGGCATCCCGCCCAGGACTGCTGGAAGTCCTCCCTGTAATTGTCAAAGTTTTCATCGGTATCCCACTTGCGGATGGGTGAACGGGCTTTTAGAGAATCATGCATTAGTCGGCATCCCGCCCAAGGACTGCTAGATTTTCGTCGGCATCCCACTTGCCAGCAGCTGCTTAAAGCAGCTGCTTAAAAATCGAAAATGTACGGTCGCCTCAGAATATGAAGCTCAGCCACCGGTATCCCACTCAAAGACAACTAGCTAGTCAAGACATTATGGGAGTGGAATGGTTTACTGGCATCCCACGTGCTGGTGGCTAACGAGCTGTACATGCATGTTAAAAAATTCGCATATAAAAACCAAGCCTCGGTCTTACCTATGCCACCTTTCTTACAATATGCAGTTTCGGCCAATTGCCTGGTTGCAGCACAATGATTCTTTCCCAGACGCCGAGCTTCACTGCAGGTGCAGAGGGCTACTGCGCCCCGAATGTCGAGCCTGTGATTTCCAAGTTACCCAGCATCCAAGATCCCCCAGAGTTCGAAGTTTATTGGGAACGCAATGACGCAGAGAATCCTCGTTTGTGGCCACTCTGGTATAAAGGTATCACTGTCGCAGCCATGAGCCTTGGAGCCACAGTTGTCAGCCTATCTAGCACCTTGTACACATCTGGAATCCCCGGGCTCCAGGAAGAGTTCGGCATCTCCAAATTGGAGGCGCTTGTTGGTGTCACCACCTATCTCCTTGGTATGGCGCTAGGGAGTGTCCTTTTTGCCCCACTAAGCGAGCTCGTTGGTCGGCGGCCGGTCTACATTATCTCCATGACGATTTTCCTCTTACTTCTGCTGCCGAGCGCGTTGGCGCGCGACATTGAAACAGTTCTTGTGAGCAGGTTCTTCGGGGGCTTTTTTGGGAGTGCTCTGATGTCGAACTCTCCTGCTTCGGTGAACGATATTGTATCAGACGAACATAGGGCCTTGGCATTCGGCTTCTGGTCCATTGGGCCTACTAACGGCCCGGTTTACGGTCCGATCATTGGGGGCTTTGTGTTCGAATACCTAGGATGGAGATGGACAAATTGGATTGTGCTCATCATCGGAGGTGGTGTCCTGGCTTTGATGGCCTCTATCAAGGAAACATATGCGCCGGTCATCCTGAGAAGACGCGCAGAACGAAAAAAGAAAGAGACACAAAACCCAAAGTGGTGGACACGTTATGATGGTGAGCAGGATTTCATGTCATCGCTGCGAGCCAGTCTCAGCCGGCCATTTATAATGCTTCTAACCGAACCTATCTGGTAAGACACTCTTTCCCTTCCCCGGTGAAGAATCCTCGCCTAACTATCTAACAGTATATTCTGGGACGTTTACGTTGCTCTCGTCTATGGCGTCCTCTACCTATGTTTCGTTGCGTATCCGATCGCTTTCCAGCAGGAGCGCGGATGGTCACCGGGAATCGGTGGTCTTTCATTCATTGGCATAGGAGTGGGGGTTCTGATAGCAATTGCGTGCGAGCCCATATTCCGCAAAATCATCAACCTTCATCGGAAGTCAGAGGACGGCATTGTGGCACCGGAGGCCATGGTCAGCATCGTCGGATTTGGTGCAACTCTCCTAGCTGTTGGACAGTTATGGTTTTCCTGGACCTGTACTCCCAGCGTTCACTGGATTGTTCCTATCCTGGCTGGCGTTCCATTCGGAGCTGGGAATGCATGTGTCTTCATCTATGCCTCCAACTATCTCGCCCGTTCCTATGGCATCTACGCTGCGTCCGCACTCGCGGGGAATATGCTATTACGAAGTATCGTGGGAGCCTGTCTTCCGCTTGCAGGTCCGTCCATGTACGGAAATCTTGGACTGAACTGGGCAAGTACGCTTCTTGGTCTTTTGGAAGCCGCGTGCATCTCAATTCCTGTGGTTTTCTATTTCTACGGGCATAAAATTCGGAAGGCTAGCCCTCTTTTAAAAAAATTGGAAGATCACACGCTTTCACCGCACCATTGAGGAAGTTTTTCACCAGAATTCTGACCACTGAAAGTTATTTTTGGATGGCGTCATGCAAGAAAAGCAGGCTCTGGAGGTACGCTGAGGCATTAATGCACTGATGATAGTGCCTCAGAGCTGGTCACTATTGGGTGGGGATGTGGCTGCGGAACCCAAAGAAAGCTTAACACCACAGTGCTACCGCAGTGGCATGGGTGCCTGCCAAGCATTTCCGCTGCCACAAATTGCTTGCCAGTTCACAAACAGAAGACCACCACGGAGACTAGAAAGAGGTGACGACATGGTTGGATATCCTTAGGTTATAATAACTGTATATACTATTAGAGCCCTGTAATTATAGAAATTATAATCATTGGTAAGATATGATCTGCCAGGATGATCTATAATAATTAATAAATAATTACATAATATCCTATACTCTCATCGAGAATACTATTACAGCGGACAATTTGTATAAAAGGAACTTTTGGATCTTTTTACTGTTCACCACACGTATTACCTATTGCCACTACCTCCACGAATCTCCATAATATAACTCTAATTCTTCTAAATCAGGCAAGTTAATTCCAATAAGATATCTCATCCAATGCCATGAAATAGAGCTCTCTAATATACAAGCCTAGAAGAATCATTTCAAATCAATTCCGTGCGTCTCTTAAGGGCAAGCCAGGCTCATAACTGTTAAAATCAGTAGCACTAGTAATTTATATGGCCAGTTAAAAATCAGTGAAGGTCTGATTCTTCCAAACAAAAGACTATGTAGCTCCTATAGTCCTATTTATGCCTTCGATAGGGGTCAAATTTGAGGGTGTTCAAATAATCGAATGCTATCAAAATTCTGCCAAGAGTGGCAGTTCTGAATCAATTCATATGCTTCCAAATCGGGCAAGCAGTAATATAATTCAATAAAATATTTGTCCGGCTTTTATAGAGTAGGGCTGGCATTGATTTCATAATAGGTGACAGGTCTAAGGGGTCACAGTGCTCTATTCTATGAATGTGAAATCTCCTCTTAGCAAACTGACCAGCTAACATCCTAGATAGCAGTAATTTTTTTTCACTGCGTTACTGCTTCTTTATGCTCATCAAGGCATCAAGGCAAACAAACCAACAAATCACCCAGCTTATCCAGCACAATCGCCTGCACATCGGCAGCCGCATCGGTCTTGTCGCTCCATCCCACAGAGATACTGACATAGCATCCGTCAGTCCCCACGACGGTGCTCTCAGTCGGCAGCCGCGAGCTCCCACAGGTCTCAACATCATCCGCCGAAAACACCCCGGAGAAGATCCGCGACAGCACAAACTTGAAGTCGTCCGCGGCGGCGCACTCAGAGCTCACCTCGGGAAAGTTGACGTTCAGCCAGACCTGGTCGGGCAGGTATGGCGTTCCCGAGGCGACGATCTGGTTGGTGATTTTGGTGGCCAGCTGCGCGTACACCTGGCTGTACGCCGGTACGGCCGCATTCCACGCCGTTGGCGAGCCGGAACTCCCCGAGAAGGCGATCGCGGGGGTTCCAGCTTCGGCGGCGTAGTGTGCTGCGCCGACTGTGCCGGAGAAGTACACGGCCAGACCGAGGTTTGAGCCGACGTTGGGGCCGGAGACGGCTAGGGCTGGAGGGGCGCCGTTGAAGAACGGAGGCGCCGCGGTGCTGATGCCGTATTTCATCGAGGTGACGGGGTACGAGTTGACATAGTTGAGCCGGGGGTCAGAGGCATTAAAGCCTGTTGCAGGACTGCCGGATGGACAGCTGTTAAATTCACATGGCTCCGTGAGGGTGGTTGGTGTTTTGTCAGAGGAGCCTGAGTTGGTCAGCCGCGACGAAGCCGGTGATGAGGGGAAACGGGACTACCTGTTCCACTCTGGTTTTCTGCTGGCGCAGACACCACGACGGAGTGGCCAGCTGCAGTCAGGGCCTTGTAGAATTGGCGGATATTACTCTCGGCCCATCCATCGTCGTTGGATGAGACGATGTTGATCGCCTGGGCAGTCAGGGGCAGGAGAATGAGAGGTAGAAGATGCATGGTGATGGTCGACAGTTATCCGGTGTCAATGCTGGGGGTTGGCTGTATTTAAGTAAGCCATCTTGTCGCAGTGAAATTAATGTAACACTGCCACGAAATAAAGGGCAAACTGAGGAGAGTACCACATTGGAATAGCGATGTTGATCTCGGGGATATTCTGGCGCACGTGCAGCATCGGATGGACGGAGAAGAAAATCAAATAGATTAAAACAGATTAACGGACGGCACCACGGTCACTAGAGCATTATTTCCGGATGTCTCTGCCAATCCAAGCAGTTTAAGTTATGCAGAAGGGACAGTGCATCCAAGGGTGGTGCAGGTTTGATATTATGCAGCATCTCTCCTGCAATAGTTCCCAATCATTTTACAGTGTGGAGGCTAGGAGACAACACTTCTTGAATACCTCTACTCATCGGTCCTCACCTGCCTTTGTTCCTTGGGCAGACACCAGTCAATGTTTAATTAGTGTATATTGTAAACAAGTCCAGCATTTATTAATAATGCGTCATCCCACTTCTGAGTATGAGAGCCATGTTAGTATGACACGTGTCCCATCAGATTGTTCCTTTGTCCACCAGAACAATGGCCAGAGTTTGTTCTACAGGATTATTTGCACTAACCAATGGTCTCAAGCCTAGTTTATATTTCACTTATCTTAGTTAGCTGACAATCCCCATTGTGTGTGTAAGTATTAGTTTATAACTCCCATCTTCTAGTGCTTTTCAAAGCCTCTAGTAACATGCTCCATAATATTGAGCAAATGGCATACTAAGAAGTCCTAGCTATTCATAGCAGTTTAGGAACTAGTGCTGTGAATAGTATACCTGATCATTCATATTTAAGGGTGAGAAATATATAACATGGTGTATGACATGTGCATACTTCCAGGGCTCTTAGATACATACCGCACAAACATCCTACTAGATAGAAAGGATATGCTGGTCATATTTAGACTCCAAATGTTACTTACAATTGAACAGATGGAGCATTGCAAAAGTATACTCCATATCAAGACATTCTCCACTGTACTCCATAGACTAAAACAATTGAGATCCCTCAACACCTTGAGCTCCACCCCAGCGTCCATGCTCCACATGGATCAGATCCATCAAGGTACCAGGCAACTCAGATATGACCTGAAACTTTGACGTCTTACAGAGTATAGCTATAAGACGCAATGTCAAATGTTGTCCGAGTCAAGTGGCGCTGCGTTCCCAAGTACCTACCAAGTATCCTCAAGTACCGGGGATCTCCGTCAGTAGACACTGAGAGCCTACAGGATGCTAATGACCAGCTAATTAATAGTGATAACACAACTGTCAACACATTTATCTGAAGAACTACCTCCTAATAGCTCTACCTCGGTCCTGACTTATCATTGGCCCAGGCAAGGTATCAGCACAATCTGATTGGCCAGATCATAATCTCCAGCCACTCACAACACTTTCTCAGCCCCAAAAATCAACTGCCATGACGCAATTGGCTGGCCGGTACCGAGGGGAGACAAGCCCCAGAAAATTATTGATAACCGACTCCAGATCCCCATTTTTACCCCCATTCTCATCTCCACTTTTTCTCTTCCCCTTTCCCTCTGGCATGGCTTCATGCCTACCTTCAATACCACCTCGACAGACCTAGGGCTCGACCACCACCTCTCCTCCCCAATCGTCGAGCAATATGTCTACCCAACCTTTATCGCCGTCGCCTGGTGCAACGCCCTCGACCTGATCGTCCTCTGTTTCAACACCTTCAAGCGCTACTCCGGCCCCTACTTCTGGTCCCTCCTCGTGGCCTCCTTCTGCATCATCCCCTTCGGCCTCGGCTACGTCCTCAAGATCTACAGCATCACCTTTACAAACTACTTTCTCGAAATCGCCATCCTCGATGTCGGCTGGTCGGGAATGGTCACGGGGCAGTCGCTCGTCCTCTGGTCGCGGCTGAACCTGGTGCTCGATAACCGCCGCGTCTTGAAAGCGCTGCTATACCTGATCATCGTGGACGGGGCCGTGCTGCACAGCTCCTGCACAGCGCTGGAGTTCGCGACGAATGCCCTCCGCGGATCCCATGGCGTGGCTACCGCGTTCGACGTCATGGAGCGCGTGCAGCTTGTTGGCTTCTGTCTGCAGGAATTGCTGCTCTCGGGGCTGTATATCTACAAGGCGGTGCCGCTGTTGAAGATGGATGCGGATCGTCGCTCGCGGGGAGTGTTGGTGCAGCTGATCGTCATCAACGTGGTCATTATGGCGTTGGATGTGTCGGTCGTGGTTGTGCAGTATCTGGGGTTCTTCACCTTTCAGGTTACGTTCAAGGCGTTGGTGTATAGCATCAAGCTGAAGCTGGAGTATGTTATTTTGGGCCGGCTGGTTGATGTCTCGCGGGTGCGCACGCCGGCGGCGGCGCGGATGAGGTTGTAGCTGTATCACCCTCGTCTATATTCATAGATTTCTTCTGTCTATATTACCTAGTCTATATACATTGTCTATAATGTTGTCTACTCCGACCGCGCACTCTTGGTCTTCTTGCTCCGCAACTTCATCATCAAAAACACCATCGCATAGCTTGAAATGCAAAACAGCGCCGTAATCCCGGTCTGCATCGTCAGTATCTCTTGCCATCCAGAACAGGGAAAGACTTACATCTCTCCAAGAGTAATACCGCTCCTTCAGGTTAAACGTCCGCGCATAGTCCGCCCCAGTCGAATACTGACAGAACTCACAAGCCGTCGCATTCCCATCAACCAGATACCCCGGCCTCTCAGCCAGAAACGCAGCCATGTACTCCCCACACGTCTGCCCCAGCGGCGCAGTAAACCGCACCAGCTCAGACGGGTCACAGCGCACCTCCACATCCCAGAGAACCTCATCCAGAAGCCCGCCAACCAGATACGTGAACGGATCGAGGTAGTACAGCCAGTCCCGCCAGAACGGCTGCATCTGCGAGAAGGGCACCACCACGCCGCAGAAGCTGACCAGCCCCGCGCCAATCAGCACGGGGTTCATCACCGCCGCGAAGTACTCGTTGGGCGCGTACGCCGCGATCCCCTGTCCGATCGACGTGTACAGGAACTCGTAGAAGATCATCTGCAGGTACATGTGTCCTGAGATGCTGGCCGTGGTGGGGAATCCCGCGGTGAAGTACCAGCAGGCGAAGTAGAGAGTTGCGCAGAGAATTAGGTAGGGGATCTCGGAGACAGTCTGCGCGCCGATGAAGGCGAGCCAGTGGTAGATTTTGGACTATAGCACTTTAGCACTGTTGACAATCGGGGTCAAGGAGTAGGGATGCGACGATACCTTCTTCTCTCTAGCTTCGAAGATATCTCGGTTATGCAAGAAGAACGGCTGCATCTGGTTGATGCACCCCGGCGCCACGAAAATGAAATTGAAAATGGCAAACAGCCGCAGCTGCAGGTCGAACGTGCCGTCGCCGATCTTCCAGAAGGTGAAGCCGCTGAACAGCGCCGCAAACACATGCAGAATAATCTTGTTCCACACGTAGTCCGGCGACCGCCACAGCTGCACCATGAGCCGCCTCGTCACCATCGTGAACTGGAACCATTTCGACGTCGCGTAGTCAGCCGTGTCTTCGACGTAGTCCGCGTCGGCTTTGCCGCGGGCGTTGAGGGTCTGCAGCTGGGCCAGCGCGCGCTGTTTCTCCTCGGACTCGTTCCACACTTGCACCCAGTCGATGGGCTTGTCGGTGTTGCCTTGGATCACCTCGACGATGTGCTCTGCTGGATTCTCATCAGGAGGACACGGGGCTCCATGGCGAGCGAAATAGTCCAGCACGATCTGCGAGTCTTTGCCCGTTTCGCCAAAGTACGCCATCTTTCCGCCGCGCGCGAGCAGCAGGAGCGAGTCGAAGGCCTCGAAGAGAACGGCCGAGGGCTGGTGGATCGTGCACAGCACCGCCTGGCCGCCGTCAACGAGTTTCCTCAGGAATCGGATGATGTTGTATGCGGACTGCCCATCCAGGCCACTGGTAGGTTCATCCAGAAAGCTAATGCGCACGCAATGCTGCAGTTAGTGATTTGCCTGAGACCACAACTTTAGATTGCTCTATCACATGATTGTCGCACTCACAGAAGGCTAGGTTTGGCGACGAGTTCCACGCCAAGCGTGACTCGCTTCCGCTGTTCGATGCTCAACCCGGCGCCGGGAACTGTCGCAGCGTCAGCATGCGTCGACAGTATTAGCAGCGTACCTCCTACCTCCAATCAACGCGTCGCTGATATCGCGCAGCTCCAAGAGATCAATGATGTGATCAACGTACGCCAGTTTCTCCTCGCGCGGAACATGAGCCGGCTGGCGCAGCAGCGCCGAAAAGACCAAAGCCTCCCGGACCGTGGCCGTAGCCTCGTGCACGTCCATCTGTTCGCAGTATCCCGTCGTGCGCTGGAAACTGATTCCCTGCGGCTGGCCGTCAATCAGAATCGAGCCGTAGATCTCGCCGCTGTCCTTGCGTTGGGCCAGCACATCAAGAAGCCTGTCACGTTAGCTACGTTGACTCATGGAGGCAGCACATTACTTACGTCGTCTTTCCCGCACCGGAACACCCCATCAGCGCAACCAGGTTCCCGGGCTTCACGAACCCAAACACCTTGTCGAGGAGCTGTTTCTTCTGTCCTTGGTAGGGGACGTGGTAGTCGAGGTCATGCCAGGTGAAGGTCGACTGCTTGACGTGCGACGCCAGTGCGGCCTCCTGCACCAGGGTCGGGGTGTCTTCCGATTTTGTCTTCTGGCTCCCCCGCTTGTACAGCAGGACAGACGATCCGCCCTGGCTGTTAACCAGCTCGAGCCCCGTCGCCGTCAAAACGATAAAGAACACCCAGAAGCCGACGATGACGCCGAAGCTCCGCCAGATATGATGCCACGAGTAATTGTACTGCGCGCGGATATACGCCGCCCCTAGTATCGTGTCGCCCTCGCTACCAGGAATCGAGCACCCCCTGTACGGCGATTCCGAGCTGGGATATCCAGACCCGTAGGGGATATAGTCCGGCTGCACGCACTGCAAGGACTTGCCGACAAACTCGTTAGCCATGAGGGCCTCGAAGGCGTACGCGCCAGGATTGAGATAGAAGATCCAGCGGAACCAGACGTGCATTTTCTCGTATGGGATGAGGTAGCCTAAGCCGTTAGTGACGTCCCTATAAAAGGGAGGTGATCTTACCCCCGTAGACGAAGAAAATGGTCGACAGCAGCCCGGTGATCTTGGATGCATTGCCGAATCGCTTGCAGAGGGCGCCTATCGCGCGGAACATCTGCATGAAGCACAGTGTGTTGGCGATGACGATGATCCAATAGGTGAAGAACCGACCGGCGTCCATCTGTAGCGCCGCCATGAAGTATAGGATGATGCAGAAGCAAGAGACTTGCACCAGCACCACGGGGATATCGGTGATGGCGTTGGCGATGCAGAATGCCGTCGGGCGGTAGAATCCGAACCGCTTCTGGCGGGAGAGGATGGGCCGGCCCATGAACGAGGCGGTCGTTTCGGACATGGACTCGAGAAGGAAGTAGAGAACCGGGAAGAAGAGGGCACCGGGGCGCAGGAAGATGGACGAGCTGTCATCTTTGAGGTTGTAGAATAGACTTCCGCATACCAGGGCCTGCAGGATGGCTGATACCACCTTGATGATGAGGGACAGTCTGTCTCCGGCCATGATCTGGAACTGGCGGATGGTGCACGCCTGTATCTGCTCCCACAGACTCGTAGTGTACACGCTTGGGCTCCGAGGGAGATGCCGCTTGCGTTTCTCGCTGGCCACAGCCGCCGTCAGCTCGTCCACCTCCTGGGTGAGTTTCCCTGGTGGGTCGAATCCTTCCATTGCTTTCTGGTAGATGTCGCTCTGGCGGTAGCGGGCCTCGAATTCCTCCGCGGTGCTGGGAACCTTGTCCTCCATCCCGGGCCGTACAATGCGCTCAGTGAGCACCGTCACGGAGGTAAGAAAATCAGCGACATTGGCTCCCTTCGGGCAGACGAAGCCCATATCCTCAAAGTAGGTCCTTGCCAGCTGGCGCGGTCCGTAGTAGGTCACCCGTCCATCTGCCAGAACCAGAACCTGGTCGAATTCATTGTAGATGCCATTGCCAGCCTGGTACATGGTAGCAACCATCGTCTTCTGGTTGATGTCGGCCTCGCGGCGCAGCAGACGAGCGAATTCAACTGCCGTCTTGGAGTCGAGGCCCCTGGTCGGGTTATCCCAGAATTGTATCGGGCTCTGTCCGGCAATAACCTCGGCGAGCGACACGCGCTTTCGTTCACCACCAGAAACACCGCGGATAAACTCGTTTCCCACCAGTGTCTTCGTCGTGTGGGGAATTCCTAGCGCCGTGAGGATATTGTCCCGCTGCTCCTGCACAAACTCCTTCGATCCTTGTCCATCTGGCCGTTCCCGGGGCACCTTATTCCGCAGGGCGAACTTCATGGTTCGGTTGACCGTCAGCGTGGGGAAATGCACGTCGTCCTCGTTGTTGAACATGATCTGCTGGCGGAAGCGTCTCGCAGCGACGTGGTCCATACTTCCATATCGGGTTTCGCCGACTACTTCGTCAAAGGATTCGCGGTCGTTGGAAAGCACGCGCAGAAGCGAGGTACATCCTGATCCGGGACGACCGAGGACCAGTAACTGACGGGTTAGTTGCGTCAACACGGCATCGGGATCAACTTACCATCTCGCCTGGCTTGACCTGCCCGCTGACATCTTTCAGGATAGTCTATTCCGTTAGCATTTGCCTTGGAACAACAGCCTCGACATACCCTCTTTGGCCGACTCCCTTTCAAGAAGCCAAGGTACTGCCGCGGATCAGCCACGGAGAGAAGTGTATCCCCCAAGGCGGCATCTGGCGCTGTAACATGGACACTGACATTCCGAAACGTGAGGGTTAGTCGCTTTCGTAGCCCTCTATCGCCGTGCTCGAGGTCAATCGTGCCGGATGAAGGCGTGTCCATTCTGCCGATCTGCTTAACCTTTGAAACAAAACACCTCGCCCATGGAAATAGCTCTCCAGAGCTAACTCGTTCCAACCCAACTATTTATACAATGTCAGTTTCATGCGTATCAGATTAACCCGTAAATCCATAGATCCGAGGCGTACATCCGCAAATCCGGTCCCATTGTTAGAGCTCTCCGCCAATCACAAGTTTCCGTTACATTCGGCATGCCGAGCGTCGGATATATTTCTCATCAAGCCCTAGGACTAATAAGAGGATCTCCACCACAGGGAAGAATTCTCGACGGTACTAGAGCTCTAGATCTCGAAGCTACAAGCTTGATCAAGCTGGCCCACTTTGCTGATCATGTCTTCCCTGAATTCCGTCGCTGATGTCGGAAACCGCTGTCTCTTCTCGGCAACGGAGTCGGGTGTTGTCTTAGGTATAGCTGTCAAGACTCAATGAGAAGCCTTGGCGAAATGGGATTAGTGCGCCTTGTTGCATAATTAGTATCGGATCTATGAACAGGCACCCCTGTCATTGCCATAGTGCCGATGCCGCAAGCTTAACATTTCATTCCCGGATTGACTTCCTTAGGAGTAGTGGCCTGCCACCCAGCACAGCAGAAATTGACGAATTACCTGTTGCAGAGAGGGGCAGACTGCTAAGGGTGTCAACGGTGTAAGCACAATTAGAACAACATAGTAGCCTATGTACGAATGCTATATCCGCGATCCACGATCGCGACTAGGATTGACTTGGTCGTTCACGGTCACACTCCGCGCTGACTTCACCCTGCTGTACTACCGCTTCTGAGGTACGTAATATGAGACTCTCCAGGCTATATCTCATCTGAAGATGTGGTTATTGACTCCGCCAACGCGTTGACATTGTATCGGTATGTGGGACATCTGGAGCAAACGACATTAGATGTCTATTAATTGCTAAGCAGGCTGGATTTTACGGACGTTAACATCGCTTGTCTTACTTTAGAAGCGGAGTGACAGATCAATCCTGGGTGGTGGTCCAACTCTTATCCATCATCATGTTGCAGCATCCCATAGCCAACAAATATCACATGGGACCATATCTCTTCACAGAATGGATTGCTTCACTGATTTATCAGACCACATGTTACGCTGATTTATAATAGCCCGTATCTTTGAGCGAGATTGACTCACAGAACTGCAGAATGCCAAATAGCCAAGGAGGAATACGAGCTCCATCTCATATCGCGACGCATTGTATATCTCTAGGAACGATGATTAGAAATACAGAATTTGTCAGCAAGCTGTGCTGTTCACAGTCGAATGAATAGAGAAGAAGCATATAAAGCCCAAAATGCTCGAGAACCCAACTCATCGTCAAGACCCTCACCCTCAGCCTACCAACCACACCGCGCAATATCTGCAATGTCCTACACAAACAAAACAGCCCTCATCATCGGCGGCAGCCACGGCATCGGCCTCGCAACCGCCCAGCTCCTCCACTCCCAAGGCGCCAAAGTCCTCGTCACGGGCCGCAGCCCAGACCCCATCCGCTCCGCGCAAGCCCAGCTCGGCCCCGCCGCCAAAGTCATCCCCTGCGACATCACCTCGTTAGTATCGATCGACACCCTCGTCGAGACATCCTCGTCCTTCTTCGGGGATGGCCGCACCCTCGACCTCCTCTTCATCAACGCGGGCTACGCCGCACTTGAGCCCTTCGCAGACGTCTCGGAGGCCTCCTTCCGCCGCACCTTCGACACAAACGTCTTCGGCGCGTTCTTCGTCGCGCAGAAACTCGCGCCGAGGGTCGCACCCGGCGGCGCGATCGTCTTTACCACCTCGGTCGCGAATCAGATAGGGATTCCGGGGATGAGCGTGTACTCCGCGTCCAAGGCGGCGGTGCACTCGTTTGTGCAGACGCTGGCGGCGGAGTTGGTGGGTATGCAGGTGCGTGTGAATGCCGTGTCGCCTGGATTTGTGAGGACGCCGACGATGGGGGTTGTGGGGGCGTCGAGGGAGGAATTGGCCGAGTTTGAGGGGCAGGGGGTGAAGAGCACGCCGATGGGGAGGATTGCGGAGCCGGGGGAGGTGGCTAGGGCTGTGGTGTTTCTGGGGTTCGAGGCGAGCTTCACTACGGGGGAGCAGGTTGTTGTTGATGGGGGGTTAGCTACGTTGCGGTTGCATTAATCTTTGTCTTGGTAATAGACTGCCTCGAGAGATGGAAACCTATGATGAGAATAGTCCCGCTCCGGCGTGAACGGTCATACCACAGAAAATATTGCAACAAAACATCTCCCCAATCACATCCTCAACTTTAGAGAGGTACATCATAGTCAGATGAATTCACATTCTGTTCTGTAGCTCGCACAAGATCCAAATCATCTGAAGCCCGTATGACGCACAACCACATGCCACGCGCCGTCATCCACCCGACCACATTCCAGTCATTCCAGTCCAGGAAATACCTCACCCGAGACAAGATACAATGTCTTACTGCACGGCAAACGCATAAATACCCTTCACCGTCCCATTCTCAGACAAACACCTACAACCCAAAATGAAACCAACCCCCTTCCTCCTCGCGCTGGCCGGCGCCGCTCTAGGCGCAAAAACATGCACGCCGAGTTTCGATTACTGCGCTACTACGCTCATTGCTGATAAGGGTATCCTGTCCTAGTTCACTTCAATGATGGCAGTTACTAATGGACAGTGGATGCAGGCTTCACCGAGGCGGACCTCGAGGCTGTCCTCAAGGCGGAGGGTCTGGAGACTGCGGACGTGAAGAATGTGCTTTTCCACTGCAAGAATCCGGGGGATGTGGGGCATGCAAAGCTGTGTCCTAATGGGTGTACGGACCCGGCGACGGAGGGGAGTCATGGTTGTTAGCTGTTTTGAGTATTCATATACTATTGCAGTATATGTTGGAAGTTCCTATCTTGGTGTATTGTGGAATCAGTGGCAAGACTTTTATTGAAGCTGTGGTATATGACTTGTACAATTGCTGGTAAAGTCATCATGCAATATTCATCACTCGTTTTAAATCACGCAGTGAAAGAGGTTTCACAAGATAATCATCGATCCCCGCGGCAAATGCCTGTTGCTGCATTGTCGCCGACGCGACTCCTGTCACAGCCATGATGGCAGCCCGGGGGAGGGAATTCTCCTCTTCGTACTCTCGAATCTTGCTTGTGGAGATGATCCCGTCCATAACTGGCATTGAAATATCTATCGCTGTTAGCTGGATCATAACTCAAAGGACGCAACCTACCCATCAGGACATAGTTGAACTGGCGCTGGGCCTGCTGGTACTTCTCCAGCGCCACGAGTCCGTTGTTCGCTGTCTCATAGCTGCAGCCGATGCGGCGCATAAAAGTAGCCAAGATTTTGATGTTGATGTCATTATCGTCCACAATCAGGACATGACGATCGATCGTTGTTGAGGCCTTGGGTGTCGAGGCACGGAACTCGTCTACGGATTCCTCCACCACTGGTGGTGACTCGGTCTGTTTGGCCAGGGCAAAAGCTTCCGATAAGCTGCGCTGACGATGTGGCGTACTATCGGCACTACCGATCTGTTTCGATGCTTCGGGCAAGCTGGAAAGTGTATGTAGGGCGCCGATGATTTTTCGAGGCGTGAGTCTATCCTGTTAGTTTCGCTCTTGCTCAGACTTTGGTGCTGCTTACGGTTGAGGAACGTAGACCACATCCAGTTCTTTCGTGACAGGATCGACTGATAGACTACTACCATACTGTCCTAGTATGATCAGTGCCTTCAGGTTTGTAGTTATTTGCTCTAGGTCTGCCATCTCAGCAAGACTGCTCTCCTCGACAATACCAATATCGCCCTTCGCTTGAGACAAAGTGTCGGCAAAGGAGACTGTCCAGCCAGGTTGGCTGAGGATTGCATTACTCAGTGCACTGCGAACTGACAGCCTCCTCTTCGTGTCAACACTCAGCCTTCGGCTTGACGTCTTCATACTGGAAAACACGTTCAGGCCGACCAGACTAACTCGAGAGGCTGACACGCTCTGTGGCTGCTCTTGCTCAGAAGCACCTTCCTCCAGCGTATCGACGAATTCAACTGGGATGTACACTTCGAATTGAGTTCCAGTACCGACGGTACTCTTCACGTCAATCTGGCCACCCGCATTTGTGACTAGTCGGTCGACGATACTTAGCCCCAGGCCAACCCCTTCCGTCAGGATGTTCTCCTGGGCAAATGGATGAAATAGTTTGTGCTCCAGGTACTCCGGAGAGATGCCACATCCGGTATCTGTGATTGTCAAATAAGCATACACCCTCTTCGTGCCGCCAGTTCTCTCAATCTTCCTGGCGAGGGTGACCTCAATGAAACCAGACTTGGTGAACTTGAATGCATTGCCCAGCAGGTTCATGACAATCCGTCTCCATCCGCCAGGAATGGATCGCACTTTCCAGTTTCCTGGCTCAACCCGCACAATCACTGATAAGTCGTTCGATTCCGTGGCGCTCTCGGTGCCCTTGGCAGATCTAATTCCCACTGTTGACCCGCTAGGCAGGTACCGACCGGCGACTTGGGAAGCATTAATCAGGGACCGATGACCTGCATACAGGGTGTCCGCCACATCCTCTACCAGAGTGTCCAAATCGAATTCGCATGCTAGATCGGCTAGAGAGGTTTCAGTATCCCCGTCATTCTTTGCGTCCGCACTGGTCAGATTGTTGATTTTCGTAAAATCCAGCCTTCATTGATGTTAGTGAGATCCTGCGGCGGAGCTGCCAACTCACAGATAATTCAACGTATCCATCAGTGTCAGGCCGCAGGTTTCAATCATCGTGAGCATATCCTGCTGAGCCGGTTGAAGATCTGTGGTGTGCAACAGCTCTACACTGGCAAGCATGCCATGGAGTGGTGATCTTAGCTCATGGCTGACAGATGACAATAAATCTGATTTGGACTTCTCCGTCGCCTGCCAGTCCATTTGAGCTGCTTCGGATACAATTGCGTCACCGTATGCCTTGACATAGAACAAATCGCTTTGTTCAAAAGGTCGTTGACTGTCACATGTCCACAAGAGGGCACCAGCCAGCCAGCGCGATGTATTCCAGTTCCACATTGGGAGAAAAAGGAGTGACCTGGCCTCTGGAAGGTCTTGTACCAGACGAAGGATGATCGCGTGATGACGCGATCCCTTTGCGTCCGTGCCATGACCACATTTCTGACTAGTACAGCCAACGAGGGTGCTGGTATTCAAGATGGTGCCTTTTGGGTACGCGGCAAACAAGTCATGCAGCAAGCCTTCTGGGATCGAATATTGCGAGGTACAGCGATTTGCAGATCCCGATGACGCCCAGCCCAAAGGCTCGCATACCCTCTCTCGCCAAGGGCCGGCTGAGGATAGGCCCGGAGAGTTGATGCAGGAATCGCCGTCCTTGGAGAGTACTTCCAGGTCACTCATGCTAGGAGAGCAGGAGCTAGAGACGTTAGATTGATGACGAGCAGTGTCAGGCGAGACCAACCTTCGAGCGTTACTTCGAGTGGCGTCCAGAAAAAGGACGCCATCCAGCTCCATACATTTCTGAAGTAAAGCACTAGCACGGGAGAACAAAAGCGACATTGAGTGGGATACTGTGCTTCCTTCGATAACAGTCACCGAGTTCCTCCTTCCGTGGATTCTTGAGAAGAACTGGTTTGGCGGGGTCCCCGGGGTTTGAGGATGCGTGTATTGTGGCGAGCCCACGCTACATTTCTCAGAGAGCGAAAGATCATCGATACCAGGAAGGTATGATGGCCGTCTCTTGAAGTGATAGCTTTGCTCTAGGTCAGGGACGACCTGACCGCTGACGAAAGCGGTCAGACCATTGATGAGCCGCTCTGCTTGAAGGTGGTGCTCTTCAGCCGACCTATCCTTGATGTTACAAGCAACCAGGTCAGCAATCTCCTGCATGCTTGCGACCTCCCTGTCTCCAAAATTCAGATGTGGCGTCTTGTCTACCACACAAACAGCGCCAGTAGTATCTTTGTTCGCATCATGAATCGGGACCGCTGCGAAGAACTGGATCTCCTGGTTGTCAGAAGGATTGTCCTGCGTGAGATCACGAATGACACATTGAGTGCTGTTGGCAGTAACGTTGGGAGTATCGACGACACAAGGCTCAGCCAGGCGCAGGCTCAACACCTTTACTTCCCGGTGACCCTCATCAACGCCAACCCCGCCCTCTCCCTCTAACAGGAGAGAAGGTGATGCTTCCGCAATAATATTTGCCTGTCCTCGCTCGAAACGAACCACAAACGACTGGCTGCAGCTGAACCGATACGTCGCCAATTGTGCGTAAGCGATCAAGGAAGCCGCTGAATTTGACTTGTCTCGCCTACGGATTGTACCTCGCGCACTGGCTGCCTCAAGGGGCTCGTTGATTCCATCCTGAGAATGAGACAAACGAAATCTATTCAGTCAGTAAAGACTCGTTCAACGCAGAATGAAGCATGAGACATACTCCTCCTGCTCTAGGACTGTTCCTTGGGCAGTGCTCATCGGAGGTGACACCGCAGAGCCAGACAGTGGCATGATCAGTTAGCGACGCATCCTAGACTTGGTCATACAAACTTGTCCGTGATCAGAGATCGATGCAGCACGGCAAAGTACAGGGAGCCTTGGAATAAGAATAGACAGAGTACATGTCGGAAAATTCGGGGGGCCTGATGAAGAGTTCGAATCCTGGTCAAACTGTGGGGGAAAATATCTCCGGTTGTCTAGACCATGGACAGGAAAATAGTCAGCAGATAGCTAGGTAGACTGGACAATCCAGTAGAAGGTATCATTGGCTGTTCACCCATACTGCTGTGCTCACGGATGGATCCGGTCGATCGCTGACTTCAGCATTCGTCCATGGTTCCATCTTGCCTAATGTCACCCTGCTGCTAAGTAAATCTTCCGAAATTCACAACCAAGACAGTATGATCCCGATATTCAGCCTTACGATCCTTTGATAAAGAAAGGATCAAGCTTGAGTAATGCTAGCCGTCTAATCATGTTGTTTCTTGCCTGCGTGGAGAAGAAGTGCGAGGGAGACAAGGACAGGTGGTCGCAGATCGATACATTCGACAGTTTTGGTTCAACCAGAGAGACGGCCATCCATCACCACTCCGTAAGGTAGAATGTTTGGTTCCAGCATTCTCTTCGTAATGGGCCATGGATCGGTCCGGAGATACTGTTTTTGCGAGGGGGATGCCGCATGCGGAAGGTGGTGCATCAACTGGAGATTACATGGGACGAAGAGAATGTTGGCATGAAGGTATTACTCTTGATGTTAAATTTGATATGATCTTATGGTAGTGAATTGTTGCTAATTTTGTATGAGTGTCATGGATATATATTGTTACATGGTGGACAAGTGAGATGAATGTACCGGGGATAACATTCTATAAGAATTTAACTAAAATCCATACCTGCTAAGGCTCATTGTGCTTGACAAGCGAAATTGAACTCTTGAAGCAAGGTAGGACAAATGCAACAAGTAGATTCGTAATCAAAGTCCATACACGACTGAAAATGTATGACTTCATCTCGGGATCTGGACCTCGGCTCAGATAGAGGCATTGATCAACAGGTTCAATTCTCCTGGTTCGAAACGAACTCTTACGAGTGGGTGATCGCCCAATCACTCTCGGTGCATACCGGGGGAATCCCGACAACAGTAAGATCCTGCAGGCGAAACCTGATCCATTTCCCTCTCAATATTCGACCAGGCTTATGACGAAATCTGGCTGATTGAAAGCAGGAGACTGCTCTCAGAATGGAGACAAAATATTTACCTTCTCAAAATGGAACTCAGATAGCATAGGTCGCAGAAGAGTCCGTAGCCTTAGAACAGCAAGGTTTATCCTCAAACAAAGCGGAGATAACCCAGTGAACAGTAGCATTGCCATGTGTTTAAGGGTGGTATCGGCAATCTGAGCGGACCGAAAAGTGGCAAGGCGTATGATGGTGTAGTAAAGCCAAAGCCGGCGATCAGCAGCTATACTGTGAATCGCTTAATCCTGTTCGAATTAAAGTGGCTACGAAGAATTCATAGTGGGTTGGATAGAGAAGAATGCTTCAAGATCCATCGTGGAAAAGTCAAAATCCCATCCCATGTCCGACAGATTGAAATCCGGAAGATCCTCGCTGCTCCCGACACTAGCAGAAGCTTCCGGGATATCGCTTTGAAGCGGATTGACTTGAATGTTCGGCATTGTGGGAAGGTACCCTCCCAAAAAGGTGTCACCAGGGAAAGCTTCGCGCATAGGATTTGCCTGGCTCGATGCTACACCACTAGAATAGGGGTGAGCTGATGCCGAGCCCATTGGGTTTGGTGCATATGCCTGACCCTGGACAGGTCCAGGTGGCACCCATTCATACGACGGGTGCAGTTTCTTCAGGACAGTTTGGATAGCTGAAATAGAGCTTGTGATGGGATCCCCCGGCCGCATGGCCCCAAGACATTGGATACCCACGTGAACCCATGGAAGGTGTGTAGGTGCAACTTTCTCATTATACATGAAGTCGTAAATAAGTGCAAAGCAGGCGCTGGTCAGGAAGAAGCCATGATAGCGAAGTTCCTAACGACTTTTTAGCTCCGATATGTGTACAAATCCGGTGTTTGCATACGGGGAAAGCATACCCGAACGAATTCATTGACGATAGCAGCCTCACATAGATGATGGAGAGTTCTGCATGCAGCGTGGACCGCGTGGTCGCACGCCTCGTTCAGCCACGCCGGCATTTCTGTCGGACGTTTAGTTGTGTTGGGCCCAGTCTCGGAAGAAGACTTTTTGGTATCGCGCTGCCATCGCCCGCGAAAGATCAAGAACGGTCGAAATGTCAAAAGAATGGTGTGATAGTATACTATCTATCTTAGCTTGTCCGTCCATTACTCTGCATGTCAATGACTTACAGGTTATGAGAATTGCCTGCCGAACTCCGACATCACCCGGCTGGGGGCATTTGTCAAGCCCAAAGCCAAGAGCAAGCTTCATCTTCTCGTCGTAACAACGAAGGTCTTCTGAAATGGATCTGGCAAGCTTCCACATTTGCAACAATGAGTCGTGTGGTCGGCCGTATATTTCGTTTGCTGAACGAGCCATGACGTTTGTGAGGTGTATGAGAATGAGAATGAATGGATCCTTGGGAGGTGCAATGCCAACGTCCCTCGAAGAAAGCGAACTCGGGCGACCAAGATGAAAGCAAATCCAGCTAATAAGCCGTCAGCAGACCAGTTTACAAAAGCAGAATCAGTGACCAAGGACGAACGTCTCGTAGAAAAATAAGGACCAAAAGGTCAATCGTCTTTGCTCCACTATTTTTCTACCCTCTCCTCCTTCAGTCGGTGATTCCTTGTGCAAGCCAGCTGAGATGGCCTTCCTTGCAGCTGTGCCCAGGTAGAGAAAGGAAGAATTGGGGCGACCTTGCTCCGTTTGATAATGGGCGTGCTAGCCAAGCGTCAGGCATAAACTTACATCACCAAGGACAGAATATACTTATCATCATCAATGACAGCTGTACAGTCTCGAGATTAACCACGTCGTCCCAGGAAGGACAAGACGCCTTGACCCGCTCAAACAGAATATCTCCCCAGCGATAATGCTGTGTGCCCAGGGAGCCCGTGGCCAAAGCCATCAGTAAGATGGAGTTGGCACAAGTGTCAGAGCCGGTACCAGAGGAAGGGAGATACAAGTGTTCTAGCTGGCGCTCATAAAGCTCTTTGGACCAGAATGGTACCAGATGGTACAGCGTTGACAAAAATCGTTGCAGAAATATTCTGGCGAGCTCATACGGCAAGAACATCACCGGTGCGACTGTGGTACCAATCCCCTTATTGGGGTCATGCGTCTCGGCTGGAGTACCGAAGAAGATGCCCCGAACACTGAACATATCAAGCCCAGCCCCAGCCTCTTCGACCTCTCCCTGCGGCTCCTCGGGATGGGTGGATAGATTCGAAACCAAGCCCCGATAAATCTCATGCATAAGAGTAAAATGGGACGTCGGTCCATAATATAGTTGCACCTTGCATGAGGGAGATGCCATGTGCGTTGCCGAAACGCTGTTGTGGAAAGTATAGCTGGCTGATTTGTTCCGGCGGCCTAACGGCTGGGGCAGCGGTGAGGATGGCTGCTGTGTACGAAGCTCAGAGCGCGTAGATTCACGGGAAGCCAGGCCCTCGTCTACGGCGCCATGCTTCTTTTTCTTGCGCTGCCGGATCACATCCCGGTAGACACATGGAGTGTTCCGCACCCGACAGGTCTTGCAGGGGTTGGCTCCATTACACTTGATTTTTCGCCTTCTGCATTCTTGACAAGCCTTGGGTATTCGCCAACCGGATGGCTCGTCTGATTGAAGGATTTCAGCCATTTATTTAAGTAACTGAAATAACCGGACCCTAAGGGGCAAGTTGTTCTCATTGCTTTGCCCTTCGGGTACGTCGCGGGGAAAAACTTCGGATTTACATCACGTGATTGGTCTGTATTTCCGAGTTTGCCCACCACGAGGTTTTGCTACAAAATCGAGGCTGAGGTGAGAAGACGCTCTGTGACGTTCTATCCCAGCTTGATAACACTTAGAACGTTACGAGAAGGGTTAGTTATGTTAAAGAGCGAGCGAGGCCTCGTCTATTGCTTCTCACGGACTATCCCACCAGGAATAGCCTTGACTCCATGACCTCTCGTCCTCTCCGTACTCCTTTCATGCATGCGGGATCGCAAGCTATCCATAAGAGCAAAATGCCATTCTGCGGATGCATAGAGTGAATAGAGCGACTTAGCAAATCGCTCATATAACTTCAGCTGAAGCAATTAGACTGAGCCTGTACGCCAATGCCTGGTGGTTGACTCGTAATAGTTAAGCCTCAGCGATCTAGGCAGGCTTTTTTGAATTGAGCCGATACTGTAACGGAGAAGGATCCTTAGTGTGATGAGGATTGACAGTACTCCGTTCTTCGGAAAGACTGATTCAGCAAGGAGATCATGCGTCTGATGCTCAGGCAAGGATAAAGAGGTGAACGGTACTCCGTAATTCGGAGAGACTTGATTCAATCAGGAGAGCTTGCGTGTGATACCTGGCTCGACTCATGGGTCAAAGATGATGAGGGATTGCTTCATCGCTTTTTCTTTTTGTTCCTTTTCTTTCCCAGCCAGTAAATGCGAAGATGCCAAGGCATGCCTTGCCCCTTGGCACGGCTGAGGGGACGGGATTTTATTCGAAGTGAGGACGCAAAGAGCTCCGGTGCTATGGTAGCTTGGCAAGGATGAGCGATAGAGCAGGGTGAGCCAGGATAGTATAAGCCTTTCACTGATGTAGTTTGTATCTTCCGACTATACATGAGAAGTTCACAGCAGCGCGCCGTTCGCAAGTAAAGTGATAGTAGCTCTGCTGAATATACGGCGAGAAGTGATGGATCAAGTTCGGCGACCGGACGATTGGAGAGTCAAAGGATGGTTTGCCTCATCGAGCCGGTGAATTCATTCCAGCTGCCTGTTGACTAGAAGAGATCAGCGCCATTCACTCGAGTTTTCCTCTTAGGTTGGAGAGTG